GGAATTAAAGTGACGCCCTCCTAAGTTACACAAACATTCTCACTGTGCAAATAAATGTGCATGTTTTGAAAGCGCCTGCAGTATTTTATTGCTCGATTAATAACATTTTAGCCATATAAATAAAGTGGCATTTGCAACTGAACGTGAATGTGAGAATGTTGGGGGATATAACCCGACGAGGAGCTCTGCCTCCCTTCACATCTGTTCCTCTATTTGTTCAATTTGCATTTTTAAATTAATTCCATTATTCTTATGGAGCCCCAGCCTTCTCTCCTGTCCTTTCAGCATCTGTCCCCGTGACACCTTCCTTGATTCCAAACCCTGAGAAATAAAAGCAGCTCTGCAGACCAGCTGGTAGGAGAGAGCCTTGTAGCTGTCCTCTGATTCCCATGTGGCTCCCCTGAGCGATGTTCTTTTGAAATACTAACAGCATCTCTGGGCGGCTCCAGATTCTTGATTAAACTCAGCCTTTCTAGTCAACAGCTGAAAGGGACAGCATCTTTAATAATTTCTTTAATTCCTTTTTGGCTGGGAAAGTGTAAAAATCAAAGTCCACCAAGTTTTTGTTCCCCAGAGAGCAGAGAGAGCTCAAGCTTTTTATTTTATTTTGAAATTGCTCCATGAAAGTAGTAAGAAAACTTCTCAGTGTGTGTGTGTGTGTGTGTGTGTGTGTGTGTGTGTGTGTAAAAAATAGGAAATCCATAACAGCTGTCCAAGGATTAAGAAACAGTGGGATGTGCCAGGAGTGTGCTACAGCTTGGAAAATTTAATAATAATCATCATTATTAGGATTCCTAAAGTGTCCAAGAATGTTCAGAGCAATTACTTGCTTTATTTAAACATTTTTCATCCCATCCTTCAGCACAAGTGCTCTCAGAGCAGCTAACAAATCCAAAGGTCCTCCTCTGCCCCTTTTATCCTCCTAATAGCCCTGTGAGGTAGGCCAGAATGAAGGTTGGTGAAGGGCAGGTAATAAACAAATTAACAACAACATCAATGCTCAGGGATGATGAGAGCTGGAATCCAGAAAACCTGAGGTGCTGCAGGTTTCCCATAATCTCCCTGTTTGCTTCTGAGAAGCTCCATTCTCATAAGTTTAGTGGGATGGATGTGGCACTCTGTATTTGGAACAGGAGGTCTTTTTTGATACACAGGCTAAACAAAGGCATTGAACTCTTTTTAATGAATTTTTCACCTTACCTGCTCCTTCCAGTGAGCAAGGTTTTTAAACAGCTGCAGGGTTGTTGCCCTTGCCGTGACTGAAACTTACATACTGAGTCTTTCATATGCCCCCCCCCCCGAATTTAGCTTTTGAGGACTGTGAAGGTCTCTTTCATCTCCCTTCATTGTTGGATCTGTAAAATGTGCAGACCCAGGTTCTGTTTGGTTTTTGAAATGTTAATTCATTACTTCTCACTTTCTGTTCTCTTTTCTTTGTTGGTTATTTCACACAACATTTGTCTGGATGTAGCTTCGGGGTGAGTCTCAGTGTCTCTTCGCTGTGCTAACATTTGAGAAACCAACAGAATATTGAGCTTAACAGTGGAGATCACTTTGGTTTTGCTCACTGAGAACTCCTGAAATGGGCCCATTGGAGAGAGGTGCAGAAATCATAAGACAGTGGTACCTCGGGTTAAGTACTTAATTCGTTCTGGAGGTCCGTTCTTAACCTGAAACTGTTCTTAACCTGAAGCATCACTTTAGCTGATGGGGCCTCCTGCTGCCGCTGCGCCGCTGCTGCGCGATTTCTGTTCTCATCCTGAAGCAAAGTTCTTAACCCAAGGTACTATTTCTGGGTTAGCGGAGTCTGTAACCTGAAGCATATGTAACCCGAGGTACCAGTGTACTGTATTGTGAAACATCCCTGCAGCTGTTGAACAATCTCATTTGCACAAGTTGCTTATACCTTTTGCATTGGATGCCTTATGTTCAAAAGGCATGTCATTGCATACTTTGCGGTATGCATCTAGGTTATTTCCACCCTTGGGTTTCTCAGAGTTTTGCCTTTCCCGTGTTGTAGGTCACTAGTGTGCCAGCCAGTACCTTCTAAGACAACTATTTAAAGTTGCAGTGACCTTCCCTTAAAAATCCACATTGCACAAGGGAGTGGGATGTATTATTCATAGTGCTAACTTAAAGTCACTCAGCAGTATACTTGCTTTTTGGTGAAATATTTTGCACTAGTGGAACACCTTTGCACAAGAGAATGCAAGTTGCTGGTAACTTTGTCACACAATCATGAGATTCTTAAGATACCCTGTGTTTTCAGATCTGAGAGTAAAAAATAATACATGAATCTAGATAAATTTGGTATTAGTCAGATTCTTAAGAAGAATTCTTTGCTCACTGTGAATCAGAGGTTTGGCAACTTAGGAATCAGAGCTGGAGGAAACATAACAATGCAAATGCTAACAAGAAAAAAGAATGTTACCAGTTTCATAGTTCAGTCCTATGCAAGGTAGTTCAGAGGTCATTGTTGACTGTGCTCAGTTTCCTTCTAGGGGTGTATGTGTGTGTAGCTTAAGGGTCTTTTCACGCAAGACTTAAATTTAACACAAGGCTGTGACTTCAGTTGACCTCTAATACAATTCTAAACTCATTTCAAGGCGAGTCAAGCTCTTTCAAAACAATTCTTGTCATTTCACAACAGCCCTAAACATCTATTGAGACTGATATAAAGGAGCAATCAGCAAACAGTGATGAGATTCTGTAGTGTGTTTGCTTTCAAATTTGGAGCCTATCTTTCAAGGCAAGAATGAACAGCAGAAACAACACTGACCCCCACAAAACATGGGCGTAGCCAGGATTTTTGTTGGGGGGGGCGGCAGGACTTGGTTGGAGCGGGCATACCCAATGTGATTGGCCAGTTAAGCATTTCTATTGCTTTACTTGATGGGGGTGGGGTGGGGAGAGCTGCTCCCCTGCCCTCCCTGGGCCACGCCCATGCCACAAAGCAAATTTTGTTCGGTTGTGGTTTTTTTGGTGGGGGTGTCATTTCAACTTGATTAAGAGGAATAGTTGTCCCAGGCTTCACACTGGAAGTTTTGGGAGCCATACAAAGTACCATATACAATGTGTGCATGCCCCTCCCCCATTCTGCAACCAAAATCAAATGGCATGGACACATTTGCACATACTTTTTGGTTATACTTTATTCTGCTTCTTCCCCCCAGGAGACAGAACACAGAACTCTTAAGGAAAGCAGGCGGCCTGCTCCCCAAACACTGGCATTGCTCTGTCTTTGCTGTCTACATCATTCCTGTAGCATCACCTAAGCAGCTTTTTCAACAGCAGGGCAGAAAGACTACCGGATCTCTCCAACCACTGTTCCTCACTACTACGCAAAGTATTTTCTTTAAGCAGTAGCAGAAAGTGTAGTTTGCAACTTTAAGGTCCATATGGCCCACGTCTGAATTTGAATGAGTTTTGTATCAGCTCCAGCCAGCACTACCACTTGTCCTGGATGGTGAGAGATGTAGCCCAACAACGCCTGGAGGGCAAATGATTCCCCATCTCTGATGCAAATGTGACCTTTACACGATGGAGGTGGAAGTATTTAAAGATCTCCCTTGCAGTACCTGTTGGTTAAACAAATGTATCCATTAAGTCTTGTGACTCAGCCCATCTCGATCTGGTGAGGAAGTTGGTGATAGATAAGCCCTTTCTTGATCCCATTTGATTCAGTTAGCCATACTTAGAGTAGACCCACTGATTTATATGTAACTCACTGGGAGATCTCCCAACTAACTAGAATGCTTGGGTTGAACTGAAAGAATCACATAAGGAGCTTCTTTTGTACATGTGCTGCTCAATGACACACTACAGAATATTTCAAAGGATTGCAGGGGATTTATTGATCTTACCTTTGGTCCAGAAGTCACAAATGCAAGGTGTTTGTAAAAACCATATCCTTAGCTCATTGGTTTCTTATGACTGAAAGGTAGGACGGCTGCTGTAGGGATCCTAAGTTGGAGACTCTTTTTGCGAAATTATTAAATGAGGCGGCACTGTCATGTTCAACAAGACTCCCAAGCTCACATGATCTGAGCTTGGGATGATCTGAGCTGAGATTACTCCACTAGAGGCCGATTGAGCTAACTGCTCAACAGCAGCTCTTCCCTTCGTTCCCTAGGATTCTAGGACGAATAGTGTCATATTGCTTCTTCCCATTTCCTAAGCCTAAGACCTTCCAATCATGTCACCAAATCTTGTAAGAATGGTGCTGTGCCTTGGGGAGAAGGGGTTGAATAGAACTGTAGAGTTGAAAGGGCTGCCAAGGGCCTTCTAGTCCAACCCCCTGCAATGCAGGAATTTCAACTAAAGCATCCATGACAGATGGCAATCCAACCTCTGCTTAAAAAGCAATGAAGGAGAGTCCACAAAAAAGAAGCAACGTTGCCCCTTCATCGGTTTACCAGACAGACGGAGTCTAATTGACAGCAGGGGTGCCTATTCCTTAAGGAAAAAAATAGCAGGGCAGTACACACACATAGATATTAGCACATTATTGGGGGAGTGGCTTTATGGGGCACCAAAAATCACTTGGGCAAGGACTGGATATAGCTTGCAGGCTGCAGTTTAGCTACTTCTGGTTTAGTTGGTAAGTACTGCTCCTGCCAACCTAGCAGTTCGAAAGCACCTCAAAAGGGCAAGTAGGTAAATAGGTACTGCTCCGGTGGGAAGGTAAATGGCGTTTCCGTGTGCTGCTCTGGTTCGCCAGAAGCGGCTTAGTCATGCTGGCCACATGACCCAGAAGCTGTACGCTGGCTCCCTCGGCCTATAGAGCGTGATGAGCGCTGCAACCCCAGAGTCGGCCACAACTGGACCTAACGGTCAGGGGTCCCTTTACCCTTTACCTTACTGCAGTAGAAATAAATCTACAGAACCAGTTTTGGTTCATTACCTCCCATACAGCTATCCAGCATAACTTTTCCTCTTTACAGGAAATTTAACTCTTTCGGCACTTCAGTGCAAGGAAAAAAATCCACCAAAATAAGAGGCTGTATTAAAAGACTTTATTCACAATAGATTTTTTTTGTTTTGTTTTACAAATATAGTTCTTAAAAAGTAAGCATTTTGTTCTCTTATAACTTCAGAGATTTCTATAAAGGTGGAAGAAAACTAAGTGGGATATGCAGAAATAATAATTAAAAAAATACACAATATGACCACACAAGTTTACTGAATCAACAAGGTGTCACTGGGTATCATAGAGCTGTCATATAAACAAACATGGACTTTAAATTCGCATTTCAGGATTTAATATATATTTAAACAACTGCAGTGTGATATGCTGAAGAGCAATGTAAATTTAGACACTGTTGAAACAGGAAGAGACACTTTAAAAAAATTAAAAATTGCCTTAAATTACACATACAGTGGTCAGCATTAGCTCAGTCACCCATAGTTACTCCTACTGAATGTAAACACAGTGTTATTTCCAGCTTGATTGTGTGACAAATTCTAGGAAATATTAAAAGTTAATTCTGAAGCTATTTACACCACTGTAAATAATTTCAGGACTGTAGCTACAACTTTTTAAATGGTGATCACTCTGAAGTTTTATACTTTGGTGTTTTGTGTTAACATAAATTACTGCTTTGAAGATATAAAAACATGTTTCTCTTACACTTTGCAGTTCTACAGGGAGATACAATCTTCTTGTCTACTTACATCACTTTACAAAAAAGGTACATTATAGTGCAGCTTGTACATACAACCTGATTACTGTATGTTATAGAAACATTGTGCTCTTTCAAATAATAAGACCAATAAACAAAAAACTACCATAATCACAATTTCCCATAAAGAGAAATATGTAACTGATCAAAACACTTGTGTCAAATACATTAGGGAAAATAAACCTGGTGAAAGAATCACTAAATTGCCTGCAAGAGGAAAATAAGAAATATCCAGTACAATTCCTGCTGCATTTATAAATTTCTATTTCCACTCTGTTTATAGTGACTGACAAAAAAAAGTTTCACAGAAGCACAGTAACCATTTCACACATTTGGCCAGGTTCCTCCAAAATGGCACCAGTGGGTTTTGATGAGGTCCACACTGGAAGGTTGGCAACAAATAGGGGAGAAATCGATGCATTAGGCCAGGCATAGGCAAACTTGGCCCTCCAGATGTTTTGGGACTACAACTCCCACCATCCCTTGCTAACAGGACCAGTGGTCAGGGATGAGGGGAGTTGTAGTCCCAAAACATCTGGAGAGCCGAGTTTGCCTATGCCTGCATTAGGCAATAAAAGATGTCAACTGGACCTGAGCCACTGACAAAATACTACTGTTCGAGAGTGTTGGAAAAATGATTCCCTTTAAAGGCTTCTATCAGGACATTTTTGAGAAACAGGATGCTTAAGGTGTGATGTATCCTGCCTAGAATATGGGATTGGACTGAATATTATTTTTAACAATTCACTACATATGGCATTACACAGTTTGAGGGCTATAGGGTTTACTGAGCTTTGCTTAACCAGACAATACTTCTATGTATGAGCATCTGCTGAAAGCCCAGAAGAGCAAGTTACAAAGGGCTACTTATGTTCAATGATGCCATCTCTTGGAATGTTTAAAAGCCTATTAAACTGAACAGAAAATACTATCTGGATTGTGGCCTTTGAAAATCAGGACAATTTGTCTTAGCTATACATAGCAGATTATATCTCTACAGAACATTTTTTAAACAAAATGTTCCAGATTTATACGTGAAGAGAAGCAATCGATTGGCACAAAAAAGGGTGTGGTAATTCTACAAGGCAGCCTGTTTAAAATGGAGGCTGGCAGGACTTCAGTCAGAAGGCAAAAATGGAATACTATATTAGAAAACTGAAAACCATACTAGGTAATCCAAGATCACTGCCATTTTTATTGACTCAGTCTTAGAAGATGCCCTCTGCTTTTGGTTCTAACGTTTATTCCTCATATAGGATCTCAAATGGGATAATTCACATTCTACCAAGATGCCTCTGTGGGAGAACTTGCTCAGAAGATGGATTCCCCCCACTGACACTAGCTTCCACAGAAAGTAAGAGGGGTTCTTTCGTTGAAGCTGTAACTTAAGCTTGGGAAATCATTTAAAAATAAAAAAACTTATACAGTTAGCAACTTTCAAAAATTTGGTGACTCTGCCCTACATTTAATTGGTGTCTTGCATTTGCTTTTCCATTTTAGGTTTTAAAGAACCAATTAACCTTAAAAACAGAGGTCTGCCAGTCAACACCAGCAGACTTACATCATTCCAAGTTACCAGATGAGAATACCTGTATGGCTGAGTATATTTTGATCCTGTCCTCTCGCTTGTGTGTTGCATATATTTTCTTTATATGGCAGAAGCCACCACTATTTCCTAAAAACATTAGAGAATTTAATTCCATTCTGCATTTAGACTTTGAATATACACACAATAGTGCTTTGGGTGATACAATAGGATGTTCTTTGTAGTTTGAAAAATGCATTATAGCCTGTGAGCTAGAAATAAACCAGAAGCTTCTTTCCCCTTCATTCCTTCAAGGGGGGGGGGAGGATAAAATATGAAGTTTCTCATAACAGAAAGTAAAGGAATGTTTAGATTTACCACAGTATTAATTTTCTATACATCAGGCTATCCAACTATTTTCAAATAAAAATGTTTAAAGTGAATAACATCGGAATTAATGTTTCACATAAATGAGTAAAGAATTGAGCACACAGACACATAGCAGAAAAGCATAGCATATGAAAGGCTTCTTTTAATTTGTCTAACTGATTTTCTGGACTGTAAAGATGTTAGCAGAAGTCCAGAATCAGAAATGTGACACCGATTCTAGTTAAATAAAGAAAAAAAAATGCTTATATTTTCATTATTATACTTTATTATAGTGGTTCTTGTGATGGCTTAAAAATCCATACACCAACACCATATCCAATTACCTGAACATCAGTCTTGAATAATAATCAAGTTTTAGTGTAAGAAAATTTGCTAGGCAACTCATTTGTAATAACCAGAGATTCATGTGTGCCAGCAACTCGCATGGTTTCCTTTGATTCTTCAGCTGCCATGCCTGATCTTAGAATAATTTTTTTTAAAAAAAATTGGGATGGGTGAGTAGGGAATGAATGTAGCACGGAGAGGCACAGAAAGAGGAATAATACATAAATTTGGGGGGAATTATTGCTTGTGTTCTCTCACTATTCTACCAGATCGAAATATAAGAGATTTCATTCCTATGGCCTTCACAAATGCTGTGGCATAGCCCTGGGTAAATCTATTATATTGAAAGTTAGAATTGTGTAAAGCTGTTCATCAGCACAGAAACTGATGCAGATTATCACCAGGTTTTTTTAAATCTGTGGATCACTCATTTTATGCACCATTCCAAAAAGTCCTTCAGCTACCAAGGAGTTACCTGTGTTGAATCAAATCTGTGGTTCTCATATTTCTTAGCATAAAAAGGTTTGCAATAGAGTAACAGTGTGTGCCTGTTAAATCACAGGCACCTATGTGGCCAAGTAGCTTTACTAATTAAAGGCTATCACTAATTAAAGGCTATTCTGCTCAGAAAGGCATCCCAACTGGTAAACTGGAAAAAGCTGTGCTGTTTCATCCTCTGATTAGACTACTAACCACAGTTATTGAAAAAAATTGGGCTGTCTCAACCAACATTCCATTTCTGTCACTTTGATTAACACTGATTAATATGAGTACAGAGTAGAATCTTTTTTAAAGCAAAGCATTTAAAGCAGTAGTGGTTTTTTTCCATCTCTCAAATGTGAATGAAAGCTGAAATGTGGATTTCTAAAGCATAGCACCTTCTCTTCCTACTTCCACAGCATTGTTCCTGGTATCTACCAAGGGTCACACAGTGGAATGTCTGAAATGGCAATCAACATACTTGCAAGACTAGCCAGTCCTAGTCTCTAAATGGGCAAAGGCTTAACACAAAGGATTTCACAGATCAACCCATTTCTCATAAGAAATTACAAGTTTCAGGAGAAACCAGGTTGTGCCTTCAAATGCAAATCATGCTGAAACTTTGCACTAACAGAAGGTTTTGAGATTTGCAAATTGTTGTAGATAAGGGTAAGTTCAGATGGCAGCTGCTATGCTCTTGGGTGTTGTGGCTGCTTGTGAAACCAAATACAGGAAAAGAAAAAAAGGGCCCTAAATTTACTTGTATTTAAGTTGATTTGCAGTTATGTTCTAAAATTGTTATTAGATAAGGGTTTCAACATCTGGACTTTGCCTATCAAGAAAAGCCACAGTTTAACATAATAGTGCACAAAGATGAGATGAAACTATTCTTATGAACAGAACACCTTCTAAAGTATTCAAATTACCAATTAATGATAGACCCGCATAAGAAGAGGCTGTCACAGTCAGATTTGTCTCTAGTAATAGACAAACCACATTAACATATATTAAAAAAGAAAAAGCTCTTCATACTTAATTCTTTATGGCTTTTTGCAACACAGCAAAGTATTACAGCTTAAAGCAGACATCTCCTCACAGAGGAGGAAAAGATTTTGCAGTCAAAAACAAAATGGAAAACAAGTAACATGCTGACCTCTGTATTCTATTTGGCCAGATGCATACTGCAGCCTAACAAAATCTAGAGATGACAAGTTACAATTCCTGTCAAAACATAAATATGTTTAATTATAATTAATTACTTTAGGTCCCTTGTTAAATATTGTACGGGTAGACACCAGACTGCAAATAATTGGTTCAAAACTAAAAAATGATGGAATTTTAATTACTACATTGTGTGCCCCAAACAGAATTCAGCATTATTTTATTGGCTTTTTCTTTTTTCCTCCTCTTCTTTTTTCAGAACTGGTAGAGGGTGTGCCTCAGTGTTAAAGACCCAATGTTCAAACGGTAGAAGATCATCTTCAGAAAATAATAAATATAGATACCTGGCAAAAAGAAAAGGATATTTAACAAACTACACAACTGGAAGGCTCACATAGGAATAATAATGGAATCATTTGTATCTCTCAAAACACCTAGATCAATAAAAGTACAATATATCTTCAATGTGGCATAGTGGTTAGTGTTGAACTAGGACCTGGGAGAACAGGGTTCAAGCTTATTATGTGACTTTGGGCCAGTCTGTGCCTAAACTACCTCACCGGGTTGTTGCGAGGATAAAATGGGGCAAGGAAAACCCATGTCTGCCACCTGAGCTCCTTGGACGAAAGGTGGGATATAAATAAAACAAAATATAAAGGAATAGCTAGGAAAATACCTGACTGCATCTAAATTTTAGTTCCCTTTCTAAGCTCACATTTGTGTGTGTGCACAAAGCAGCTTAGCACTCAAAATGACACATGGGGAAAGAAGAGATTTCCTCGAAGGAAACATGGAAATGCAGCTATGGGACTTTTTTGCTCTTCAATATACAGATGCTCCAGAAGCTTAAATGGGGCTTAGAAAGCCCCTGCTGCCTCTGGAAGGGATGATATACAGAAGATCAGCCCTGGTGGATCAGACCAAAGGCCCATCTAGTTTCCATAGTTTTCACGCAGATGCCAGATGATACTCAGTTGCTCAAGAGCCTCCCCTTCGAGAGCACACAGCCCTCTTTTGTCCCTTCACAAATTATCTATTGGGAACATAGTAACTGTAATAAAGTATTTGTCCAGGTAGTGTTAACTATTCGTTTTAGGTGGATAGCTTGCCAAATCCACTGCTCAATTTGCTCTGTGACACAGAAAGGAATGACTCCTTCATAAATCAAACCATGCTCAACTATGAAAACTAGATTACTTTGCTGCACAGAACTACATTTCAGATAGTATTTAAGAATTAATGCTTAGGTGTTCAAGCTTGCTTCGAGAGACTTTTGAAAGGGTCTCGCCTACCTGATTTGGAAGCACCTTTACTTCCTTAACATTTCCTTGAGAAGTTCAGACTTCTGGAGAAAAGCAACTGAAACAACTGCATGTAACTAAAGTTTGCCAACCTTCTGTTTCCATCAGCCCCCTCCATCTGCCTGGGCAACTGCTCTCTGCCAGGCTCCACAGATACTAAAGCTTATACAGTGGTACCTTGGGTTACATACACTTCAGGTTACATACGCTTCAGGTTACAGACTCCGCTAACCCAAAAATAGTGCTTCAGGTTAATAACTTTGCTTCAGGATGAGAACAGAAATTGTGCTCCAGCGGCGCGGCAGCAGCAGGAGGCCCCATTAGCTAAAGTGGTGCTTCAGGTTAAGAACAGTTTCAGGTTAAGAACGGACCTCCAGAACGAATTAAGTACTTAACCCGAGGTACCACTGTATAACACATAGCCAGAGTTCAAAACACTTCATAAATTCTCACTAATAATATTTATTATTCCCATGTTACAGAAAGTAGGGTTGGGTCAGAAAATGGAGAATTCAAGGTAACTAAGCAAATTTCTATATGATATGAAATGAATCACAGGACTTTCTAGAGCACCTGCTCTGCCAGTATTTGTTTATATCTTGACTTTCTTTCAGTGAGCTCATAGCAGCATAAATGCTTCTCTCCTCCAGTCTATTCTCATAAAACACTGGGGGTAAGTGGAGAAACAGGGATGGGCTCAATGCTCAAGGTTGAGTGGGAATTTGACCATGGTTCTCCTAAGTCCTAGGTCCGACACTACCCACAGGTCAGTTTTCAGAGGCACAGAACCAAATGACTGCAGTCTCACCCTTACTTGGAACCAATCTGCCTGATCACAGCCCTGGGGTTCCTGGTCACAGTTACATTTCTTTGTCCTTGTCTGAACTGACATGCTTGCTGAAGACATCAGCAGTACCCCCTGAAGCCCCCTGCTTCTATTCTGGCCCCGAACAGCATTTCCACACAATTCTTTGCCAAAAAAAGCAGAACTCGTTTTCTCCACCACACACCAAGATTATGTGCAAAACTCCCATCTGTTAAAATACTATGGTACTTCAGCAAACAGACCATCTTGTCTTTGAAAGACCACTAGAGATAACCTGCTTGCTTCTCCTGGTTCTGACTCCCCATATTCCCATACCCCTTTTTTGTTCTGCTGCCCTGTACGCCAGCCCATACAAAGATGAATGACTCTTAGCTCTTCAACTTTTAAACTGAAGGGTTTCAATTGCTTACTTGAGTGTTTCTGAAAGGAAGAAACTCTGCTGCACATCATCATGGGTTTGACGGTTGCTGTAAACATCCCTAACACCAGAATAGCCGCCATCTACTCTGCAGTATTTTTCCAATGCCTGAATTCAAAGAAAGGAAAAGAGGAGTTTGATATTTTATAACTTACACCCTGCGCTTTAATGTAAAACATCTTCAGGGCACCTAATAGCACAAAGTTAAAAATTTAAACAATATAAAATAGCACAATTAAACACCGGCATCACAACAAATGTAAAACAACTGCCCAACTGAAGCCAACAAGACCAGTTAATGATTGCTATTTAAAGTCTCATTGATTGATTTTGAGCCATTTAACACACAACTTCAAAATGGAGTCCTCAAATTCCCTACACTGTAGTTTTTTCAAACAGATACAGTTCCTGAACTCAAAGGACATGCAGAGTAGAAAAACTACCATCTTTATTCCACACCTAGACAAAGCTCCTATTGTACTGATGTGTTTCCCAGCTCACCAACCATTCTGATGGAAGTCGAAGATACTGAAAGATACTGGGCACAGTATGACTTGGGACCTAAATACTTGAAGTTATCCTGGTATCTGCTGATGGGGCCCTACTGAGAAGTGCACCAGTGAGTGATTGCAGCTGCTGTTACTATTATGGTTTTACTATTTCAATATTTGTCTGATGTTCATGTTTTGATATTTATGATTACAGTTGCATTGAAGTTTATATTTGGCTGTGGTATTTGCTCTGTAATTACTATATATTGCTTTGAAATCACTTTTGACATGACCGGCAGCCAATAAATCCAAGGAATTGGACACTGAATATATTCATGTTAAAATAGAGTTAGGTACTGATGGATACTAAAAAAGAATTAATAGTTATTTTTCAAACAAAAGGAAATAGGAGATTTGTGGAGAACTGTCTGGGATATTTTGTGGGAAACTGCAGTCAAACATAACTATGCATGAGTGCTGGTTAGTACATGAAGGGGTTAAGAACAGAGAAGTTTGTTCCTAGACTAAGGTCACACTTCTGTGATGTGGGAGGAAGTGAAGCCTTCTCTTCCTGTTCCCTTTCCCTGTGCCATGTAACTGGTCAAGAAGATTTGTCTAAGCAAGCGCCAAGCTTAGAGCATGTGTTTGATGCTTTCTGTATTTTCTACCCAAGAGTGTTCTGCCAGTGTTCTCCTTGCTGCTGCTTGGACAAATGCATGAATCTTTGGAACCTCTGGAACATTTTGTAAATAAAGTATTTTAAACGTACTTACCAGTGTGTAGTCAGTTCATTGCAAGAATGGTAGAAAAAGAGGTACACTGTAAAAGGGTCTACCAACCTATATTCCTATTGATATTGCTGCTAGACTTTTGTGTGTTTAAACTCTATTGGGGGCTCTCTTCTGCTACAGCGTGTGCAAAGCTCCATGTTTTGAATCTGGGCACCCAGCGGATTCTTTTGTTATTTACATTTGGGTCACAAGGATTAATATTTTCCTCCCGTATGTTTAAGACTCATAAGCTGAGTATTTATCAGTATTTCCAGCTAATGCACAAGGTGGGAGGGCACTAAGGAACTAAAATCAAGGAGTTAGAAGGAATGAATAAGGACACTGTTAATGAGGAATTATTTAAGGAACTGGTTAATTATAAAATTCACATGAGGCAGAAAAATCATTAATTTTTACTAGGCAAGCTTATTTTGAATGAAAATAAAACACATTATTCAAATTTAAGCCTTTAAAGAAACAAACAAATATATTACCTCTACAGCTTCCCAGCCCCACTGCCGGTACTTTGGATCATGAGTGAATCTCCACATATACATGTAGGTTTCGATAACTTCAGGCCGTAAGATGTAGTATTTTTCATTCTGTCTAGTAGCAATTGCCTCAACTCCACCATCAAACCTGAAGGCTTCTGGTCCCAGTTTCATGCCTACACAAACAATGTGCAATATCCAACTGAGTTGGCACATGAAAAACTTTCAACTCTTCAGCATGTGGTAGAGCTTTATTAATTTATGTGAATCATTCATATAAGGTTAGTACTATGCCACAGAAATATTTTTGCCATTTATGAACTCCACTATTCAATGCTTGTGTCATTAATGCATGACATTTTAGTGTGGAGGGCACAAATATTTTGAAAGCATCCCAATAAAACTTATAAAAACACACCTCTTCTATGACATTTATTGATATCCCTGTCCCTTCCAGGAAATAATGCAGAATAAAAAGAGCAAACTGGGGAAACAAAACTAGAAGAATGAATCTGCTTAAAAATTGTAGGCAACAATATTTCCAAGCTGAAAGTTGGGTCAAAGGTAATGTTGGACTATGAATAGGCCTTATGTATGAACCACTCTAAGTTTTCTAGCAATATTGCTTTCTCTCATTCCAGGTTTTATTGGAAAAGGAAACATGTCCTTGATGAAACTTTAGCTTGAATATTTAAAATCTTATTATTTTTTGAGTACATAATGCCAATTGGTTGAAAGGGTTTATATGGCAACAGTTTAGCCTGTTTTAAATAGGCTCAATTGATCTCAACTAGAAATCAGGTCAGGGAACACTCCTTCAGCCGAGATTCAGCAAGCACCCTCACTTGTGACTCTTAGGTGTCTCTTCAATATCTTTTTATACTGACAGTCTTGCATTGGTTTGAGTTTTTTTAGTCTGGCCCGCCATTTTAATTATTGTTTTGTACTGTTTTTAACTATTTTTGTGTTTTATTGAAGTATGCCGCCAGAGACTGTAGCATATAAATACTTTAATAAATATTGATCTGTGCTTGTTTCAAGTTCTAGGCAATTCAAAATTAAGCTCTCGCATGCATTGATCATACTTTGCAGCCGAAGTTGATACAAAAGTCTGCTACTTTTCCCTTTACTGGACAGTTTGGTGTAACTTGGAAGTTCACAAGACAAGTGCCCATTCCTCTGGAAGCAGAAGCAACTATTAAAATGCTACTGAAATCTACAAAGTAGTCGTTAGTAAAGGCAGTTAAGTCCAAGGCATAGGAATACATTTAAATCTGCTGGGAACATGTTGCATCTTTTTAGCTTTTTAAAAATACCTGTAAAAACAAACCCTTTAGAAGTTTTCCCATTGATGTACATGGATATTGGACAACTGTGTACAATATCTATTGAATGTGTTTTAACAGAGGCAAAATGATACATAATGCATGTGTGCTGAAATGGGGAAGCTTCCAAGTAAACTAAGTGGAACTGATTTCTAGCACAGCCTTCTCCAATGTAGCGCCCTCCAGATGTTTTGGACTATGTCTTCCATCACCCCATACCACTGGCCATGCTAGCTGGGGCTGATGAGGAGTTGGAAGTCAACAACATCTTGAAGGCACCAGGTTGGAAAAGCTAGTCTAGCTTTTTACACGTCTGTCAAACTAACACAGGCACTCACTGGCTGATAGCCCACTACAAAACTTGCTACCAGTGTTAAAAGAGAGAGCGAGAAACACTCTTTAGTCAATAAGAAAATAGATTACAGGTAGTGTCATCCTGTACCAATCATAGTTTCAGTGGTGTTGTCTAACTACTCCAAGGACAGAAGGTGGTTGTCAAAAGCAGTTCTACAGCTTATCTTTGAATGCATGAATATACCACTCTGGGTCTTAATATCTAGGGGAAACTCCCCCTCAAAAAACTTCCCTCCAAACAACATAACAGTGGTACCTCGGTTTATGAACTTAATCCGTTCCGGAAGTCCGTTCTTAAACCGAAACCGTTTTTAAACCGAGGTGTGCTTTCCCTCATGAGGCCTCCAGCCACCGGTGCCCTTTCACCGTTCGGATTCCATTCCTAGACCAAGGTAAAGTTCTCAAACTACTTCCAGTTTTGCGGAGTTTGTAATCGTTCGTAAACAGGGCTGTTCTTAAACTGAGATACCACTGTACTCTGCTGACTGTAATTTATTTTAACTGTTTTTAATACTAAATTTTAAATTGCTGTAATCTGTGTCATGTGACAAAGGTATTTGAGAGCAGAAGCAGTAAGGGAAGCAGTAAAGGAGTCTAGAAATGCTTGTGAAGTGCTGAAAAGCTGCAGAATCACTTAGCATGCTGAATCACTGTGACTCATCTTGAGGGTGACTCATTCTCTGTATACGTATTGTATCTGTCTACAGGCAGACTCAGTCAGTCAGTCAGTCAGTCAGTGTGTCTGTGTGTATGGAGCCTGACTCGGAAGTGAAGCCTGTACTCTGTGTATGCTCTGAAGCTAGTTTAAATCTTCTGTTCACTATGCTGTTTATTTGCAAACAAGTTTTAACACGGTAAAGCTTTTATTCTTTTACTGAAGAAGACTCTGCATTATTAATTTACGCTGCGCGTCAATCTGCTCTGGGATCTGGTGGTGAAGGGCATGTAAAAATAATAGATGACCCTCGTGGACCCTTCCAACTCTCCAAGTCTGCGATTCTGTGGTGACAAGTAACACAAATTCAATGCAGAAAAAGTAAAATGTATTAACTATGTTGGGGTGGGGGAAAGCAAAACGCACAGCACTAACCATCAATATAGAATTGGGCAAGTTTTTTTTGGGGGGGGGAACCCTCTGGAAAAGAGCTACTCCACAAAGTTTAATGCTTACTTGTGCGATCATAAGACTCGTGACATGTGCGGGCAATTTCAGCACCAAGTTCAATGTGACGTCCAGTTTTATCAACAGGGGCTCCATCTGCACCCAGAACGAACATCCCTCCAGCAAAGCAAGTGAGGTGGCCCATTTTGTGTTCAAGCAGCCCACCCTTCCACTCAGCAATGTACATCAAACCAGTGCTAGATTTTCGGAGCAGATGGGTTTCGATAGACTAGAAAAATGCAAAAATATTTCTGTATTAGAAATAGGCGCTCAGCTGGAAGGCATACTGCAGATCAGAAAGGGTACCAGAGGATGTTGTCATAGTTAACAAGAAGAATCAAGGAAGTTGTTTTGAGACAGGAAGGCTTCCCTCAGAAACTAGAAGCGTTGCCCAAATTAGAACAATATGAAAAACAAATTTGTACCAAAATGCTAGCAGACGGTAATGGTTGTAAAAAGGAAGCATGTTGCTAAAAACATTAAGACAAACAATAAAATAGTCTTTAAATACACCAGAAGCAGGAAACCAGCTAGGCAGGTGGCTGCATCAATAGAAAGCAGGGGAGGAAAAGGAGTGTACAAAGGAGCTGAATACATTTGTTGTGTCTGTCTTTACTGCCTGAAGTGACATTTTCCGGGAGCGACGTGAAGAACAGAGGCAAATAGTGACAAAGGACAAAATTCTAGGCCTTACTGACATATTTAAAATAAACAACTTGCCAGATCCAGATAGTATCTACTCTAGCATTCTTGAACTCTAATGTGAAAAGATTTAGGGGCTTCTTAGTCTGCCTGGCAGCAGTCCCCCTCCCCATAAGCAACTTCCATAGCTTCGTATAGTATTTCACGAAGAATGAGCAGCTGTCATGGCAAGGGCAGATTTTGGCACACACAGTATGTTACTAGTGTTTCACATATGCAGTGGCCTCTGTACAGCATGGGCTTAGTTGACAAATCCGATTAAACTTTTAAAAAGATGGAAACCCAACTTATTATGCTTCCCTTTACCCGAGGGAAAGGGCTACATTTAGTACAGGACTGCCACATATCACACACCTGTTATTTTTGCTTTAAAAACCCCACCATCTTTGAATAGTCACAAAGATACATTTTAGTCTCAACAGCCAGTGAGGGCTTCATTCAGAAATAATAGATTTTCAATATTTAGTTATTGCTGTTCCTTGTAGCCATTGTGTGTGTGTGTGGGGGGGGAATCCTGCAAGGCCACTATACACATTCCGTCAACTAATGCTGTCAACATAAAAGCTATTGAAAAATGTGCCGTCATGATGTTTTGAAACAGAATTGACACATGTTTAATAACCATGTAGGTCTGGTTCAAGAGATGTTTTGTGTGAGCAGTCCTGCTTCCCTCATGCCCTATCACACACCATTCCGAAAGGACCCTCGATCCTGGGAGCAGCTTCTGAGGGGAGGAGTTTGGGAAATCCTTGGCATGCGAGCAGAGTCTATCTATGGGTCAAACCCATTACATTTACAGAATTTTTCTACTGCCAAGCATGGAGTAAATTATGTGCTTTGTTAGTACTGTACCTCTTTTCACAGATGAATAGGCTTCAGCTAATCTTACAACTAGAGGGAAACTGGGAATCTGACCACCAGACACAGGTACATAATCAGTACAATGTGAAGACAGATGTAGGACGAAATCAAGGTCTATTCATAAATTAGGAACAATGACATTCATGTAAAGTAGATGAATATACTTAAAAGTTTTGTTTAAAGGAATACTTATTCACTCAAAATTTATTGTTTAAAACATTTAAACAACCCAGACTCTTAACATATGCTGCAAACCCCCTTTCTTTAGAAGGTGTTTCATATTAGAAAATCTTAAGTAGATTTATATATTTCATTTACCTGAACAGCATCATAATACATCTGCATGCCTTCTTCATCTGTCTTGTCTGACATTAGCCATGCCTTCAGCAAATATTCATAAAAGCTATCTCCAAGCCCTCCAATTGACACATGATCTGAAAACAAACAAACAGAAAAGCACTCTAAACTAATTTCACCTTCAATTTAAGTGTCTGTACACTCCCCACCTAATTTTAAAGATGAACTGTAAAATAAAGCTTTGCACAGTAAAGCCCAAAACCCAAGTAATTCTTTTAATTTGTAACCCTGTGCACACTTATCTAGGTGTAATTGCCATTGAACAAAGTGAGGCTGACTTCCAAGTAGATATACAAAGGATTGGGCTGCAAGCCATTCTTCAGAATAAAAGTGCTCTACAAACAACACTTTTTGATAAGATGATTATATATAAATCCAATCACTCTGCATTGTATTACTTCAAAAATAGTGCTCTGCGAGCATGAAAGAATGTCAAGCATTTGGCCCATTTAGCTGCACTCTACCCCTAACATAAAGTTAAAAAGCCCTCCCATTCAACCTGATTTGATGAACTCATTATATTCTTTCTATTCTATAGGTGGGACTGACAGATGGTTCAAATGCAATGCATATCATCATCTCGGTTGTAGGAGTGTAAATATCCAGAGATGTAGTGATCAGGTGGGATTGCTATGAGGAATTATAACAGATATAGAGTAAGCCATCTGTGTCAGCAATGAAAGCATTGCGTTGACTGGGTTTAAACTATTTTGATATGATTTTTGATCAATCTACACCTCTGCATCTCTGGCCTTTTTGACCCTACTGCCCATTTCTCTCCCCTCACATGTCACGTACACAGCAGCACAGCAGTTGCTTCGCCAGGCAGGCATCCTGGGCCATAAAGATTGTGGGCAAGCTTATTTGAAGTAGCTCTCTAATGTACAGTGGTGCCCCGCAAGACTAACGCCTCGCAAGACGGAAAACCCGCTAGACGAAAGGGTTTTCTGTTTTGGAGGCACTTCGCAAAACGAATTTCCCTATGGGGTTGCTTCGCAAGACGAAAAAATCTTGTGAGTCCCCGCGGGTTTTTCCCGCTCCCCCCCTTTTCCTAAGGCGCTAAGCCGCTTATCAGCTGTTCCGCTGATAAGCCGCTTAACAGCTGATCGCTGAAAGCCGCTAGACCGCTGTAGCGCTAATCCGCTAAGCTGTCAATGGGCTTGCTTCGCAAGACGAAAAAACCGCTAGACGAAGAGAATCGCGGAACGGATTCTTTTTGTCTTGCGAGGCACCACTGTATATTAATCTTAGGATGTTAATCTTAGGGCCAGGAAACAGATCTCACATGAAGGTGATACTGATTGCTATCCTCCTGGCCATCCTCCTTATCATGTGTACTGATTGTTTATGACCTCCGGGGTTGCCAGATACTCTTCTTTGTAGTTCTCAACTTATTTACCACCCCTTTGTAGTTCTCAACATATTTACCCCAAAATATATGCATGCTAATTAGTGTTGTAGTGTAACTTTTTCCCCACGTGGGGTTTGATGAAATGCTCAGAGGAAATATGATTGGTTCTTACAAGCACTGTGTAAAAGATTCTTTTGATAATAAAATGGCCTGGTGAGGGGTGTGGTTGACGCACTTTTCTCCGAGAGCCTTGCTGGTCAAAGCCTCGTGTCATGATTTTTAATCAGGGTCCAATCCTTCCTTCACTTTGCAAACGCAACATCGGTTTAAAAAGGTGAACCAGTCTAATTTTAGGTTTGATTTTAAGTCATGTTGTTTGATTTTGCAAGTTGATTCTCCTTTAGGTTAAATTATTGAACCTTTCAAATGAATATTTCTAGGATGATGCGATACATTTTATGCTTTCTTACTTTTTCCAGATCATAGTGCATCTACCTCCTCTAAAGTGGCTAAATATTGTGCTGCTGCATGTAAATTAGTCACCAGGAACTAATTGTAGCAAACACCATTTTGTTTTCTGTGTCTGGTGCTTTTATAGTATGATACAGTTACTAGTGATTTTATTGTTAGGGCTCTCTATTTTGTTTTGCTTGATATTATTTTATATTTTTGCAAAAAAAATCTGGTCATTGACCATAATGACAGATTTCCTAAATGTCAGTCATTGCTATGACTTCAATCACAGCAAAACAGTGAAAGGAAGAATAAAGTGAGTGTTTCACAAAGCTAATGAGCAGAATACTGCTGGAACAATGGACCAGAAATTTATTTATATTAAATGAAATCTGGAAAATTGAGGATTATGTCTATTCTGGGACGGATGGGGGGCAGCTTTCCCTTTCACAGCTATACCAAATATCCTGAAAAGAAGTCTATTTAACTTCATGAAGTTCTTCCTTTCCAAATTATGCCTTCAAAATTGAAAGGACAGACATGCTTGTTTACTCTTTAAGGCTTTAAACCAAACAAGTAGTATGGCCTACTTTTTCCTATTAAAGGTTTCACCTTTACAGTGTGCATCTTTAACTATCAGCCTGTGACCTGGTATTTAGTTTTCTGAAATGTTACCTTTGCTATCCATTTCCAAAGAAATGTTCTGTGATGGCAAGATAGAATTACGAAGAACTAACAAAACAGAACACTTTTTTTAAAGTAAAGAAATACCTCATTAATTACGCGAGTGTCCACAATACAAAGAAGAAAGAAGCTTTTCTCAGAAGAATGAGTGCACTCTCTGTGATGGAAGGTTGATCTCTGAATAGCAGCATTTAAATGACCTTTGCAGTTTCCTAAATGAATTACCTCAGAAACTCTTGACATTTGCAGACTAAATAGCACAAGCAGAGTCTCATCAATAATAAGTCCTGCTATTATATCCATTATTGCTAGAGACAAATCTAATTGACCCATGACGCTGAAAATCACTTTCAATTTGCAACTGAAGTAACAAAGGCTAAATAAATGTACAGGAACAATAGCAATAAAATAGTTCGGAACTATAGTACTGCTGGTCTAATTGTAGTAGAAAATATTTTGCCTCACAGTGGCTATTGTTGTAGTCTCAATATTCTCTAAGGCCCAGTGTCAACATTTTGGTGGTATTTAGTAAAAGGTAGGGTGTACACCAGATTCAGCCAAAGCCAAAAGTCCAAACTGAATCAGGTTGATTTGTGTCCTGCCTAGAGTGGGTAGAAGCAGCAACGAATCACTACAGGGCAAATGGGCTTGTCCCAAAAATATTTGTACAGATCTAGGCCAATCTGTAGCTCCAAACAGTCTCACAGAAAGCCAGGCCAATGATTCAATTATTAATTACAATACCATATAAGAATTCTAGTGTGGAGAGAAGGGGATCTGGAGGAAGGCTAGCATGATCTCCTCCTACCAAACATGTGCTAATCACAGGCTTACAGGGATGAGCTGGACTTTGCTTCATACATGCTGCGGGGCTACCTAGAAGGCTCCTGGTGTGTATGAGAAGTCTTAAAATGAGAAACACTTTTGGAAGTCCTGTCTCTTATAAAGTGCTTGATGTGTTTGGTTGCATTTCTTCAGCTTGTGTTTGTTTTCTCTCATTTGTCAAACAACCCCAGTTCCCTCGTTTGTTTGTTTTGAAATGTTTGCTGTTTTATTTTTTTATTTTTTTATCTTCTCATTGCTAAGAATATTGCATTTTGATTATCCATTGCCAACCACAAACTACAAGAAGGATCTAGCTTGTGTTTTGTAGCCTAGAGGTGTTTTACCTTTTTCTCTCTACAGTGGTACCTTGGTTCTCAAACACCTTGGTTCTCAAACGCTGAAAACCTGGAAATAAGTGGTCCTGTTTTCGAATGTTTTTCAGAAGCTGAACGTCTGATGCGGCTGTCAGCTATTGTTTCCGGTGCACCTGTACCAATCAGAAGCTGTGTCTTGGTTTTCGAACATTTCGGAAGTCAAATGGACTTTCGGAATGGATTAAAATTGGGTTTTTTTGTTTTTGCTATTTATTTTGCGTTTTTGTTTTTAAGGCTTTTTCGGTTAATTTGTTTTTGTGACTGTGTGGAACCCAGTTCAGCTACTGATTGATTGTGTGACTGCGGAATGACTATAATCAGTGCAGGTAAGATTTTTTTTTTTTAAATTTTATCATCTACAATACTGTCTTATTTATTTTATAGTACAGTACATTGATTATTGCTTTCATTTTATAGATCAATGGTCTCGTTAGATAGTAAAATTCATGTTAAATTGCTGTTTTAGGGGTCGCTTTTAAAAGTCTGGAACAGATCAATCCGTTTTGCATTACTTTCTATGGGAAAGAGCACCTTGGTTTTGTAACACTTTGGTTTTGTAAAGGACTTCCGGAACGGATTAAGTTGGAGAACCAAGGTACCACTGTATTTGCCATCCAGCCAAATCTTGTGGCCACAGCCTACTGAATGCAATATCATCATAATTTATCAGCAAACACAGGAGTGTGAGAAATGACATGATTGAGCACTGAGTCTATTTTTTTTAATTACTTTTTTTGAAAAGCAAATTTTAAAGGTGTACAGCACAAAAAGACCTGCAGCTCTCTATCTGCAACTAGGCAGTTACTCCCCTCTAGAGAGGTTACCATGCCCCCAGTTTGCATGTTTCTATGTCCAAAAAGCAAGTTATTGTAGCTTTTATTCTGCAATGCCAGTCAATGTGATTTTGGAAATTTGTAAAATAAGACAGAGCCTGATCCAGATTTACAACCAGAGCAACAAATCAAATAAACGTGTCTGCAATAACACTTTATGAATTTTGAAATTTTGTATCGGTAAATCTTTTGTTAAATATTTATAATTAACAAGTAAAATAGATACATGTGCTCTCAAGATGACTGCTGCATTTGTAATGAACTGTGTCCAAAAGAATTGTCCCATTCACAAAACGAGTCCCACCTGCACAAGATAATTTCCCCTTTCTCTTCTCCCCCATGCAACCCCCCATTCTTTTTTGAGTGTTCCCAAATCCCTCCAGAGGAGATGGGAGAGGGAGGGGAGACTCATTGTGCTTGCATGAACAGGACAACTTTACTATAACCACTTATAAATTATGAAAATGCATTTCTATTTCCTGAAAACAAAACTATCATAATTATTTTGGTTCAGAGTATATTTAGTGTACATTTTATAAACAAACACAAATAATGAAGGGACAAAGAAAACCCACATTGACAATATAGTTCAAGTAGCTTTTTAAGAAGTCTTTTAAACGTATTGTTTTAAAACAAAATAACTGAAATGTGTGCATACCGCTAGTGAAAATGATATACTTACGTTGACCCCACTGACCACTACTCGGATTTAGGTAATTAGGATAAAGACCTTCTGGCTTATCCAATCGTTTTAAAACTTTTCTAATGTTCATAACCTATGTCAAATAACAAAAACAATTATGGTGTTTCATATGCACATTTTTTGGTGTATTTTACATAAAGAATTTATTCTTTGCAAAAAGAAAAGAAATGTATGACTATTCAAACTTAAGGGAAGCAACTCTTTCAAGAGTACTGGATTATATTCTAACTAAACTTCTGCTGACAGTCTCATGAGCAGAAATTTGCTTTTGGGACACATTCCACAGTGAAAAGGAAGGACGAAAGAGGAAATGCTTTCTGCCAATCTTTCCTTCCCACTGCTGCCCCTTGAAAATCTGCTGGAAAATCATGAGAAGCAACAAAATGGAAAGAGGAGATTGACAAAAATGCTGCCCCACCCATACTCCAACCAGACCTTCTGCAGGATTCCAGTTGCCTATATAAACAGAAGCAACTCTTCCATTTACAGATGAGTTGTTAGGATTCAAGCCATCATTTTATACTGGCTTGCACTCTCCCCCTGTCCCACTCTCACACACAGCCCATACTGGGATGGACATTGTCCAGAGCTATTTTGTGTAGCTAATTAATGACTTCTTGCTAGATTAGTGTTGAACATTAGCTGAAAAGTAATCTGGTTCCGTAACTCCTCAATATATGTTTGAGAACCTATGGCTGCATTTGAACTTGGGTATTCAGTAACTATAGTTAAAAAATGCAAATAACCTGTGCACAAGCTGCTTGCTGTCCTAGCAATCCTGTTTTGCTGCTCCTTGAGTTGAGCAAGGAAACAAACCACAAACTGGTTGGCTTAGCATTATATCCAAACCAGCCGTTTGTTTCACTCTCTAAACCCGAACCCAAGGTTTGTTCTTAGTTGCAGATTGTGGTTTGGAGAGAGAGAGGGAGAGAGAGAAGCAAACCAAGAGTGCTGCTTTGGACTAAGCAGCCCTGTGTGGTTTGTTTCCCTGATCCTGAAGTGGAAGAGCCTGGGCTGGATGAACAGGCTAATTTGTTAATTGCTTATCATTATATATGAATGAAGCATAAGAATGCAGAATGTATTAGGGGCAATTATGGGTTGTGTTCCATGTTGGGCTATTACAAACGTTTCATCTGAGCAACTATATCAGCTTGCCAGGCGGAAGGGTGTCCATCCCCCCATGTGCTACTCTAGGGGATCATCCAACCACTTCAGAGCCAATTTCATGGGTGCAGGGGGCACACAAGGGGAGGCCTTACTGCAAAAGCAGCTACACAGGGCTTCCTCTGATGGGGTGAAATATACCTAATAAGCCCTATGTTTTTAATCCCACACTCAAGTTAGCTGGAAAACATTTCTTTTGAATCAGCACCTAAAACAGACTGTTGTGCCATAACAGGCAAGCACAACATGATTTAGGGATGATTACTACCTGTGAAACTACTAATAAGCTGGATACAAAAAAACCTAATGCAGAGAAAATCCACACACACTTTCTCTCCCTTGTTTGCAGTACAAGGTCAACCTAAGATACTTAAAATGTGTACACTTCTACCATCCTACTATCATAAAACATTTGAAAGAAGTGCCGGAAACCAAATCATTTGTACTCAGAAAATAAGTTCAGAGGATCCAAAGAACAAAAATGGAGATATTCCCGACAACTGGCAATTGTCACACTTTCAAAAGTGTGGTGCAACTACTGGCAAAAACTCTTAACTGACCTTTTCAGCAAACACTGGATTTCCAGATAAGTGGCTTAGATGCATAAATTCCAAATGCAGAGTTCCAAATTCCGCCAAAATACTGCTTCCTCCTGAAGCCCAGGGCCAGTTGCGACCAATGCCACTAAAAAGGAAAAAAAAGTGATATGAGATTGAGAAATAAAAGTTACATCATAAACTACGTAGTAGCTTGACAAGAAACATAAAAGCCCTGAATACTAAATGCTAAACGCAATAAAAAGCCCCTAATACGCAGTCTCTTATTTAATCACATTTGCATCTCTTCAATGTTCACATGTACTTTGCTTTTATTTCCTGTTAACACTGTTAAGCAGTCAGAGCAGCACTTCCTTTGGAGTATGCCTAGTTCACAATACTTAGAAGAGCTGCATTACCAAATCATTTTTATGTGAACCTGAATACCCTCCAAAGAGTGCTGTTCACCTAAATTAGCTATTTGTAACTATAGGATGGAGCCAAAATAAAATGTATTATTCAGTTCCTTTTCAATATTAGCACATTTAACCTATCTGCACTGCTTTGGTACTATTGCAAGTTGAGAGGATGCCCAATTTAGCAATAAGCTCGTTATACACAGACCATGAAGGAGAAGGCTTAGAGATACTAGCCCTTCCCAAGCAGATCTTCTCTTTCCTCCAGAGTACCATACATTACTGTCACATGTTTCCTTGAGTGAACTTGTCTAACAGCCTCAATCCTATGAAATAAGCCCAAATTAGTTCAAAGGTGCTTATGCCCAATGGACGTTGACTCCTCGTGACACTTGGCCAGCTTTATGCGATGAAAACTGAACCAGCATCCATCCTTGGTATTCTCTTCCAGCTCTTGCATGGAACTTACTAGTCTGTCATCTCAGGCTAGTTATGCTCATGAATCAGTTATCCACGTGAGTGAACTCTTGACGTGACTACAACTGATGCGAAACCCGTATTTCTTTTCTTCAAAGGTGTCTAAAACCATGATGGCAAAAAATCCATGTAGTTTATTTTCAAAATAGAAAGTTGTATAAAAATGGAGTCTCTTTTCAAAACTTTAAACTACAATATTATACTTCATGCTATACCTGATACAAAGCATGGGCTGTTAAAGCCTTGACCTTCCAGTGAAATAGAAACCAAATATTACATTAAAAAGCTTTCTGTGTGAATCTTCTGTTACTTATTTTACATTGTGGTTAACAATAAGAACTTCCAAAATAGAAAGCACCAAGGATTTCTAGGTCCACAAGTTCAATACACGATGCGTTTACTTTGAAATTTCTGATGAAAGCAATAAGGCAACCTCTTTCAAGAGTCAGCTGAACATAATGGAATTCAGTTTTTGAGGCCTTGGGCAAAACTTGATATAAAAATGATCCTGGCCAAGACACTATTTTGCAACAAAACAAATATTCTCAACATGCTTATATTATCATGTACATCCTTGCATGAAAGTAAATCAGACCTGGCTATGGCAATGGACTCTATATGGGGGTACCTTTGCAGACTGCAGGAAGCTTCAACCAGTCCAGAATGGAGCAGCAAGAATGTTAGTGGGAGCTCACCCCTGGATCAGGCTACACCTATCCTGTGACAACTGCACTGGTTACATATTTATTTTCATGTACAAGTCAAAATATCAGAGATGGTTTTTAAAACCCCAAATGGCTCTGGCTTAAGATATCTGATGGAATGCCTTCGCCTGTGTGTTGCTAAGCTATGGGAGAGACTCCCATCCATCAGGGAGACTTATTTTATTGTGGAGATAGCAAGGCCTTCTCAGTGGGCAGCCCCCACATTGTGCAACATGTTGTCTTCTGAAGCCTAGGTTGTTCATTCTCTTGTTTTCCATGGGTTTGTGAAGATGCTTTTCTTTCAGCTGGCTTTTGCTGATGGACTATCTGAAGAGACAGTTTTATCTCTGCTTCCTGTTTCTTTTCAGCTGTTCTTGAATGCATTTTGCCTTTACTGGGGCTTTAATGTGAATCTGATCTATTTGTTGTAAACCATCTTAAATTATGTGTATAAGTGTTTTAAAAAATCTTATCTAAATAAATATAAATTACAGTAGAAGAACTGGTAGCAAGAGATTTAGTCTGCAATCCTGTGCATGTTTCCTAAGACTATGGCCCACTGAATACAGTAGGACAGCTAGGTAAAATATGCATGGGACTGAACTTTTAGCTATGTACATTTTCATAGCTGCTTATGATTTATTATTCTCTCTCAACAAAATGGAGATACATCAACACCGCTCCGTGCCTACTTGGAAACCCGAAGAAAAATGTGCAGCACTTCATGTCTGGGATTTATTTTACTTTCATCACCATGAGATAAGTTCAAGAAACTAATAACTATTTTTTATGCATAGGTTGAAATAAAGATAGCAAACTCAACTGTCAAAGAGATGAAAATACCAGAGGGACAGAAACAAAGATCTGCACTTTCTTCCTGCCAGAGGGGCATTCATTAAAATTCTTCAGGTATTTATGCTTTCAAAGTATGTGGGCTTAAATTCAGGGATTTTTTGTAACAAATTACAGGAATAGTGCTGCTGAAGAGTTTCAGATAATCAGTTGGAGCCAAGGTGTATGAAGCACGTCAAATGTGGGGCAGGCATGGGTAATTTCAGCCAGCAGCAGAAATATGCATTTAAAAAAATAAATAATACTGTATTTACATACATTTCATAAACATTTAGCTACTTTGGTGTAACAACTGAATGGAAAAGAATAGTTATGGAGTTTCTCCAACATGGCTTTATTTGAATATTTCACCTGCAGTTGTAGGCAAATCTGCAGGAATCAACAGAAACTATAAGTTATTTCTTGCCCTACATATACATTTAGGTTGCAATTAAATGCACATTTACCTCAAGTAAGTTCCACTGAACTCAGTAAATGAGAACATCCAATCTTTGTTCCATGCATGAATGAGGAAATGCAGTAGTGCAGTGGGGGGCGGGAGGAAGGAAGGGTGTAGCCCTGGGTACAAATTTCTGAGGGGGTACAATCAGGCACCATCACCACCAGCTCCCTCATCAAGGCCGGAGCTGTGGGGAGGCAAACCGTGCACAGGGCGGGCCTTCAGGGCTGGGGCAGCACCTTCTTTTCCTCATGGCTGGCAAAGGGACACTTGTGCATGCTCCGCCCCTGGGATAGCCAAGAGGGAGGGATGAAGAAAGCACTGCCAGAGCCATGTGCGTTGCCCAGAGAACCTCGCTGCAGGGACAGGAGGACGAGGTTACACAGCGAAGCTCCTGGCTTCACGTTTCTCTGCCTTATCTCTGCCCTCAGGTTGGGGCTAGTTTGCAAGGAGAGATTCCCTTGATTGGATGCTGGCCGGCGAAGGGACTGACTGCTGCCCAGTCCACTAGGGGGCACAACACTTGCCCCGCCCAAGGCACCGGCAACCCATGCTACACCCCTGAGGAAATGTGCATGTGTTTGAGAAAGATAGGAGCAAACCATAGCTTTTCCTATCTTTCTCATACACTTGCCCCAACACATCCCTTCAGTAAAAAGCCGTAAGCTGTTTGGTCTCTTACTGTGGCGTGAACCACCTCAGATGTACAGATGGCGGATTTAGATCTTTATAGTCATCCTTGGCTTATTGTCTTGTGTGTAATGCATCTGTTTATATATGAATGAATAAACATGTCGGACAAAAAAATGCTGCTTTTAAATATGATTAGTCAGTCTTTTCCTAGATTAGCACAATAGTCATTCCATTCAAGAAGCAGGTACATGAAGGCAATTTAATTATTGAAAAATCCAGATCCGAGTGCATTTTAAGTACATACATACTTCTTTAGGTATTGAGTTTATAGCTTAGTTCCTCATTAGGAAGTACATTCCAGCTTCTGTAAATCTCAAACATACTTTTTATCATCTTTCAGAATACACTTATGTAGCACTGATTAATAAAGGCAAACAATACAAGTTTCCCATTGCTTTATGTGCTAAGGGTTTGATTAATCATTCTTCCTGGAGTTTCACACATAGCAGGGGGGGATAAAATATAAGAAAGCTGTAAGATTATATGTAACAGTGAGAGCCAGCCTTAAAGCAGTTCCCTAAAGCAAAAGCAAGCTGAACACTAAATCAGAGAACCATGAATATGAATCTATTATTCTATGAGCCATGTGATGATAATAAATTATCTCTGAAAAAGAAATCTGTTAGATCTAAATCCCCCTACAACAGCATCTTGTATAATAGGGAGATTCAGTACCAGAACCACTCCAAAGCTGCAGGGAAGTCAAATAGATTAAAAGGCAATTCATTCAACATAGCTGTTGGCATTGGGAAGACAGGTCAGTAACACAGCCCTACTGACTTCTACTGTCAACAGTTTGTACAACCCTTCCAAGTAGCAAAGAAACCTGAAAACAGATTGAATATAAGGGTGATCCCTAACAAAGTCACAGTGTGTAGTGTGTTCCCATTCAGTATTCCTGCTAGTGATTTCCATTTCAGCATAAGCCATTCAATTCCCCTTCCTGTTTTGAATTCTACTCTCCACCCCTCAGTCAGTCACCATTCTGTGCCCTCTGAGCATGCTCACTCCTCATTGAGTGGTTTGTGTTCTCTTCTGAAGGTTTTTTCTTAAAACAATAAATAAAAAATCTGGTACTTCAAATCTGGTCCCTCAAGTCTGTCTATTTTCACCATGTCACACACTTTGAGAAGGAGGGTGCAATTAGTATATATTGATTTAAAAATTGCAATAAAAAGAAGAGTAAATATTTGCACTGTCCTTGCATCAAAAGCTGACTCTCATGCAGGTCACCTTTTTGTCTTTTGTACAATTTGCTATTGTATGATAAAATAAAAAGATGACCAACATAAGAGCATGGGTGTGCATAAAAAACAATATACACTAGTTAGTTAGTTAATTTACCATTTGCCAGTTGAAGTAAATTAAGAAAGGAATTGAAATAATTAAGTTACACCAATTTTAGAAAGTCTCAATGTGAAATTCAGGCATATTAACTTTAAACCTAGAATACTGTGGCTTCACTACCTCCTTACAAATATTCAGAGTAGACTTTGAGAAGACTGGACTTCTATTCAACTGAGACCACAAAAGTTGTTTCAGTTTGCAGAATGTCTGCAAATTGCAACAAATGAGGAAAATGAGAGAGCAATTATGTGTCATCTCGTGTTATGTATTCACACAAGCCAGGAGCCTAAAAGGTAAGATAATACAGAAAATTGTCGCCCGATTGTCCATCCCAATAAATAAAGGGCAAACAGAAGCTATTCCTTGTTTTTACCTTTTGATATTTAACAATGCCCAAGGAATTCCTGTTGGCGTGTTAAACGCTGGAAGCAGTTTCTCTCCTAGTTCTACTGCTTTCTTCCGAAATACCTGTAAAATTAAAATCAGCAATAGTCAGACAAATCAAGAAACAATAAAATCTAATTCACCTGGAGCTGTGGAACTCTCCCAGGTCAGAGTCACATTAGCCATTCTCCAACACATGGTAAGTAGGATTTGGAATACTTCATGGACCCATAACAAAACGAGTTAGAAGCTTTGTTCTAATTTTTAAGTGAAAGCTGAACATTTTTGGAAAGGGTCCTGGAAAACCTCTGAAATTGCTCTGCTTGTACACCCATCCATTCATTTATGAGACTTGTAGACCCCAGAATAGATTACATATATGAAAAACAAAATAGAATAAAAATTGAACATAAAAAATCCATAACTCCAACAAAGAAAAAATAATTTCACACTTCCTCTTTTCATCAAGCCATAAAAATTATGTACAACATACAACTCTATTCTTCATTCAGACAATCCTGCATTTTATTATTTAGTTCCCGATTTATAAACCCACCCTTCACATAGTGATCCGTGGGAGGCATACAACATAAAATCAAACTAAATCAAGCTAATGTGATTTACCACCAATGATTCACACATTTATTTGCATGTGCTCTAGTGCCCATCCTTCAAACCCATCCAATAGACAAGTGGCAGTCCATCACCACATCAGGGTACTGGTTCTAGACAAGACTTGCCAATTTCATTCATGTGCACAGGTAGTTTTTTTAAGAATGCTGGTAACTAAACTGAGTGGATCTGACAGTTCACCCACTTGAATCCGTTGCCTCTAATCTATGCCTCTGTTCACCAGCACTTAAAGATGAAAGGAGAACGATGAATAACACTGGCACAAAGCAGAGTTAGGAACAGAAAACACTTCATATGTCCAGATTTTGCTCGCATTACAAAAAATGACTATTGCAATTTGCTAATTAGGTTTTGTTATCTTATGAGAAGAGGAGCAAAAACCCAGTGGAAAAAAGTTTAATTCAGCTAACAGTAAAACTTCTGTTAGCAGAATGGGGAAGGAAGCACTTTTCAGCTACTCCCTCTCTCTCTGCAGTCTGCCATGCCTCCCTAAATCTGCTCTGAAGGACTGGGAGGACGATCTAGAGTAAATTTAGAGAGAGGTTGATGAAAGGGGGAATAGCTAAAAACTGCTTCCTTCCCCATTTTGCTAACAGAAGCCTTACCTATCTGAATGACACAAATGGATTATAAACCTAAGCAAATATTTTTTTAAAAAATATAACTAAAATTCCCTGTAAAAATACAGAGAAGAAAAATGAAAAATGTAGACAGGGCACAGAGTTTGCAGATAACTCAATGCACATGAAAGTCATTGCTTTAAATAAAATTCTTATCTACATATTACTTGAAAAGAATCTCAGTCTGGAGGAGACACTGAAAGTTCCAGGAAGTGCCCTGTAAGTTTTCCTACTCGGTTACATACACAATCTTTTGCCTGATCAACCTTTAATCTCTTAGCAGAACAAAACTCTACATCTAATTGGTCAATACTTGTTTTGTTGGCTTCAGAACATCAGGGACTGCAATCTTTAGCTGATCTAAGTCAATTCATGACAAACAGAAAAACATTTATTCCAACGAAACAAAAATGCAGGTTCAGTGTCACAAAAATTGAATTATCTAGGACGGCACAAACAATTGACAAATCCTGAATCAAGAACCGAAGCAGAGTCACTTCAAAAAGGTTTGTCTGAAGTGGATCTCTACAAAGCACTATGGGAATTCAGATGTTTAATCACAGCAAACTGAGTCTCCAAAAAATTCTCCTCTAGTTTGTCATAGAAGAAAAATGCCAGAGCTGGGAGAGGGACATGTCTTTTGTGACAGACAGGTCTAGCTTTTAATCAGAGGATATCATTTTACCAGGGCTGTCCAATCACCTAGTTTTTGTCTTTTCTGTGCTTTGTCAATTCTTTGTGCTCTGCCAGTGGTGACTGCTTGGAAAACACTGAACATTAAAGCCCTTCTGCCTTTGTGCCACATGCCAAAAATATCCACTCCTATCAAATCAGCTTTGTGCTTAGTTTCTGTGACTTTTGGTGCCAACTGAGCACAACACAAGCCTGAAGCTGTTTCTTTCATTCATCATAACTCCCTAGCCACAGCACTCAACGTCCTGAAATTTTGCAAGTTACTTTCCTAGGGAAACCTCTACAATGTACAACATCTTCATAATAAAATTGTTGCCCTACAGTAAAGTGCCCGCCAGCTCAGGTGTAACACCCACCCACCAAGAATATAGGTGTGGTTAATCCAACAGGCTATATGGGTGAATACCCAGGCGATGGTGATGCCCCAAAGTGGTATCAGACGCAAAGTCTGGCAAATCACTTCAATCTCTTCTCCCAAAGCAGTAGAAGACAGAAGGGAAGGGGGAACGGCAACACACAATAGAGATTCACACACACGCCATGCAAAGGAAAAGCAGGCAAGAAAGGAAAGGAACAAGCCAGCAGTAAAGATGGTGGACAGGAATAAAGTTGGGAAACCAAACAAAATGGTGACTGGTAAAAGACAAAGCTGAGGAGGAAAAAACAACAACCAACCCTCAATCATACCAACCAAACAGATAAAAACACTCTGGAAAACATATCATGCCACACACCACTCATATAAAGAATAATTAGAAAAAGTAAGCTTTAAAGAGACAGAGGAAACACCTGAGGAGAAATCAGTAACAGGAGCCAGAAAAGATGTGTACAGCTTTTGCTGAAGGCATATTGGGAGCGATCCACATCCCAATATGTTGTCCTGCCTTTCAACCACTAGGTGGGGCCATAGACCCAACCCGTTAGCCTTGTTACCACAATGTGAAATCTGTAAAGGCTGTCTTGCAGAACTGCTACAGCTTTCCTTCTGAAATTTGGCAGGATTCATCCACTTAGAAGGGATCAAATGTTGCTCTTTTCCAAACCAATGAAGTGGGGTCCAAACCGAATCTTGTGGTTTATACACACCCCTAGCATTTTCTTCAGTTTCAATAAGCTGGTATTGACCTTAAGTAAATAATGTCCAAATTCAATGCTCTGAACTGTTGCATCTTTTAAGTAGCAATCCAATTTTGTATGCAGGTGTTAAAAGTTAATTGGAATGTCATTTTCCTACTGTTTTATCTATTAAGTAGTTGAAGTAATTTATTCTTTCAGGGAGACACATGAAAAGGTCTCCATTCTTATAAGCCAAATTACATTTAGGATAAGTCAAATTACTTCGCAATCTCAGAGATCCTAATAAAATATGGCTATAATACTGATAACCACAAAATGGTCAAAACAAAAAAAATTCCTTCCAGTAGCACCTTAAAGACCAACTAAGTTAGTTCTTGGTATGAGCTTTCGTGTGCATGCACACTTCTTCAGATACACAAAATGGTGTAATGTATGGAACATAAGCAAAGTTTGCTGTGGGACCAGAAAACTGTGGATGTAAAGCGGAGGCTATCAGACAAAGTTGCCTGATGGTGTAAAGTTGGTGTAAGTGTTACCACAAGTAAGATGGAGTCTACAGCACAGTATCAAGAAAGAAATTCAGAGAAACTGAACACCACATTTGCTGCATGAGAAGATTTCCTCTCTCCTGTTGTGTGCTGTTCCATTGGTTCTCCCAAGTCCCCACCGAGCAAATTTTGGAGGTGGGGAGTTGACCAGGGAGAAGCCCCATTGTGCAAATAGAAGTCTTTGCACAAGGTCTCTGCTGACAGGACTCATAATCTGAATCCTGCCGTCAGGGAAAAATAGTTGTCCTGATTTTAGGCAGCATGATACAGCGCAAGCTCACACTGTCTCTCTGCCCTGCTGCCACCCTACACTTAAGTAAAGGTAAAGGGACCCCTGACCATTAGGTCCAGTCGTGGCCGACTCTGGGGTTGCGGCGCACATCTCGCTTTATTGGCCGAGAGAGCCGGCGTACAGCTTCCGGTTCATGTGGCCAGCATGACTAAGCCGCTTCTGGCGAACCAGAGCAGCGCACGGAAATGCCGTTTACCTTCCCGCCGGAGCGGTACCTATTTATCTACTTGCACTTCGACGTGCTTTCAAACTGCTAGGTTGGCAGGAGCTGGGACTGAGCAACGGGAGCTCACCCCGTCGCGGGGATTCGAACCGCCGACCTTCTGATCGGCAAGTCCTAGGCTCTGTGGTTTAACCCACATCAGGCACCCTAAGAACAATATCCCAAGACTTCTCAAAGAAAAGCAAAAGAATTCACATTTTTGTTTTTTCAACTACTGTGTATGTAAGAAAGAAAAAGGGGACACCCACCTTTCTAGACTCTCAAAGTTATTTACACACTTGTTATGGGGGATGAACTCCTCATTTGGAGTATGTACATACAGGGTACTTTACAGGAACTTTGGGAGCGAGAGTCTGGGAGGGGCACAGACTCCCACAAGAGATGATGGACTCTCCTTCCTTGGAGGTTTTTAAGCAGAGGTTGGATGGTCATCTGTCATGGATGCTTTAGCTGAAGTTCCTGCATTGAGGGGTTGGACTAGACGACCCTTGGGTCCCTTCCAACTCTATGATTCTATGACTCTCTTGAAATGCTCAGCGATTAGGTCTTCCCATTCTTGAGACATCCCAGACCCAAGTTGTTAATGGCTTTGAACCCAGCCTGGTAGTGTATGAGGAGGTAGTGCAAGCTTTTGAGCACTAGAGTTATGTGCTGGCAGCATTTCTCCAATTAGCCAATCCCTGGTGTGTTGTTGGCTAACTTCCAGTCCCCTAAGCCAAACTTTGGGCTTTAACCTGTTACTCAGTATTATAGACTTAGAGCTACTATTGAAGACCATAAATGATCTTACCTCTTCTCCAGAAAGGTAGTATGCTGAAAGCAGCCCACCAACAAAGCGAATGTTCACTTCAAAAACGGAAACTTCTGCATTCTATGAATACAAATACAATACATTTTTAGGTAAATTATAGTGAATTTTCAACATGAAAAGGAAATACAATGTCTGCAGTAGTCTCCAGTTGTTTCTAGGGTCTGGTTTGCATGACATGGTAAGCCAATTTTGGCAGGCACCTCAAGAGGAGCTTGCAGCTGCTTTGCTCCTCCTGGTGCTTCTAACTCCTGTGCTGCACTGAGCTAAGTCAAGGTTTGGCTGAGCAGGTTGTTTGAACCCAAGCTCACGGTGAGGTTCTCTCCTCACGAAACACAAAATGTATCCATGATTTTTTACAAACTTGGCTCCATATCACAGACAGGGAAGTCACTATGAACTCTTTGCCTCCAGGAGGATACACTATCCAAAGATTGAAGCATAATTCTTGCCCAATTTGCATTCAGTGTTTATGCCAGTTTTAAGCTTCAAAATGCAGTATGAAAAAGTTTATATCCAGAAGCAGAAATAAAACGATGCTTCACAAAGACAGAAACATCAGTTAAATTCTAAGAAAATGTATTTCTTGTTTCCACAATGAAGGAAATAGTTCACCTAAGGAAGAGTTTAACAGACTACTAAAATCATTTGAACCTCACACCCTTACCATGTCCACAGCACTACGTTTTTGTTTTAAAAAACCTCCTAAGAATAGGATTATTGGCAAAAGCTCTTTGTGAATCATACCTCTATGGGACAAACACATTTTCAGGATGTTGTTATTATTCCCTGTCTTTCCAGAGAAGACAGTTCTTCCTAGATTCTTTATGCCCATTTCTTTGTTGCAAATAGTTACACCATTTTACAACAATTAATATATCATGTATTGCTTGTTACACTATTCACATGATCCTGATCTTGACTGGGACTCTGCAGTGGTTTCTCATCCAAATTCCCCCATCTCCTATTTGCCCCTGAATGGACTGTCTGCTATAAACAGCACTGCCAGGAAGCAGGAGCAGCCACAGAATAACTTCTTGGTGGAGAACTGGCAGCTGTAGGCGATTCTTCTGTTTAGTACTCTATGGAGCTGATTTTCATCCAGAAAGCAAAATTAAGCACTTAAAAACAACAGCCTGTGCTTAACATGTAGTTAGGCCATTAATTACTGCCTAGCTTATGCCAATTTTTTTATAACAAGGCAAAAACTTTGCATACAGCTACAGCTCTCTTTATTAGTATATTAATTCCATAACATGATGAATTTTGTTTTAAATGTGGAGAGAAAAGATATCACAAAAACTTAAAACTTTTTATCATATATTACTCAACTTTCTCTCATACAATCTAAGGATACTATCATTTTAAATTATAGCCCTAAATAAACCTTGCAGATTTGCTGAAGCTAACAACTGTACAAACCATAGCATTTCTAGAGTACGTTACACAATCCACTGAGGCATGTGGAACAAATGAAGCAAGAGATTGTAGTCAACATAGACATGAAAGCTCTGTATTTAATAGGAGAGCTATCCTTAAGCTCATTATGGCAAGCTAGCATCACCCTGGGAAAACATGTGGATGAGAGAGATTTGAAGAGAAGCTGAAGAGGCTTTACTTAACTTCTAGGAAACCAGTCTGCATTTGAATGGGAATGTGGGGGAGAAGACAATGAGGAGTCTTATTCAAGCCTGTATCAGATTTCCCTATGAGCAGATAATGAAGTCTCAAATCAAAGATGGTGGGGGGCACTTAAAATATTCTCTCCCCTCTCGCAAGCTTCAGAAAACTATCAAGATATATCATGTGGAAATGTAAGAAATGTAAGAAATAAAATATCTGATGAATGCAGTTGAAAATCAGTATGCCATATGTGATGATGAAGATGAAAAATGTAACACAGGGATCATGGATTTTAACACTAATTGTCTGTCAGCAACCTATTTCTATAGCAAGTATACCATAAAGGTCAGGAAAGAGAAATAATGCACTGTATTCTTCCATGTAGAAGATGCCCCCTATTTTGGGAGACTCCAAATTGAGAAAGTGGTGGTGGGGATATTGTATCCGTGTACAAGACGACCCACAATTTTGAACATAATTTTTGAACATAATTTGTATAAAAGTTGGGAGGAGCAGATCTAGAATCAGGAAGTGGCAGGGGAATATGAAGACTTCCTTCCAATATGTCTTTTTAGTGGGGGAAGAATATGTACTTGCTCACTGAACTGTAAAGTTGCAGAGCAAGCCTTTTCTAAAAGTTGCTGGGTCAGATATGGATTTTCAACTCCAGTCAAGTCAGCACTGGCTATTACCAGGGTCAGATTTGGTAATATGGCCCCGATTGAATAGTTGCCCAGATGTTGGCAAACTACCAGCTGTAAGGTCTGTTTATGCTATACTAAGATCACCTTTGTTCTTTTAAAATCAGATAATTCAGGAGTGAACTTATTTACTCTCTACCTTCTGCAGAACTCTAAGTTCAGAATTTGAAAGCTCTGCCATCACACATTCTTAATCTCCCGTAATCAGGCTTCCTCAACCTCAGCCCTCCAGATATTTTGAGACTGCAATTCCCATCATCCCTGACCACTGGTCCTGCTAGCTAGGGATCATGGGAGTTGTAGGCCAAAAACATCTGGGGGACTGAGTTTGAGGAAGCCTGTCCTTAATCATTGGATTCTTCCACCCATTTGTCTATTTTGTTGTTCATTAGAAGTTTCTTTCTTTGAGTAAGCCCACTTACTATCATTATTATCAATTACATTTATTAGATGCTATTTGTTGCCGCAGGCGACTCAAAGTGACTTTACATAAAAAAGAAATAATAAATTTAAAGTTTATCACAAAGGAAGTTAGAATTCTATGTCCCAAACTGCATCACTTTGTGTTTACACATACTACATTTTCCCTGGTACTGCTTTTGGAGCTCTTCATGGTCTGCTTGGAATTTTCTATCCTGTATACTGTCTTCCACAAGTTTTGCTATCTCACCAATTACCCTTGTCTCCAGTTTTCACACTAAATGCTGTTAGTCTTAGTACAGAACATTGAAGCACTCAATTTTTATGACTTTATTCCATTTTTAGCTATCCTCTGGTTCCTGTTTATTAACTAGTTGATCCCTATTTATAACATAGGCATGCCACTGTTTGTGAATTAATTTCATTAAATCTTGCATGAAATTAGTCCCATTTATTAGGAAGGATTAAAACTAAAAATGTACTTAGTTAGATATTCCTTTGGTAACATCATCACAATATGCAGCAAAGGCTAGATTTAAATACATAAAGACTTCTGGGAAACATCAAGGTGATTATAAATACCAATTCCACAATGACCTGACAAACAATACCTTGGCAGAAAGATTTTTCTTTCAGTGAGACATGCAGGAAACAGATAAATGGAAAGGTGCTGCTGCTTATACTTTTGTGTTTGAACGGGATTTCCTGAAATTTTAATTGCTATATGCCGAGAAAAATTGAGGTGATACAGCCTCTTTTCAACTTTAAGAATAGGAGGCAGATCATTAATTGCTGCCTAGGTGTAACAAAATATTGTTCACATTCTAGCATTACATTCAGATCCTCTCTAGAACAGCCCCATGGGGTGGGAAAACACAATTACTACAGAAATATGACACCCAGGTTTGCAGCTCTTGGGACAGAGGTAGTTATGAAGGTCTTTTAAAGTAACTGTCTACCTAACATATGTTTTCTAAGTAAGAACACAGTTTAACTAGCATTTAAATTTTATTTTATAATATACACCTCCCACAATTACCTTTTAAAAAGATCCTTACTAAAGGATTTTACATTTTAAATAGGTAGTAAAGCAAAATGGCATACTGGAAGTCCCATTTGAATTGTGTTAATTAGCTAAAGATTTAAAGTTTAAAGCTCTGTCTCATTTGAAGAGAAAAAGAACTGTCATACGGGTGAGATAAGTAAGTTGCTTAGAATGAAACTTGCCTAGGCCTGTTCTGGATTTGAAACCCATGTTGGGAAAAAGATTCCTGGACTGCAAGGGGCTGGACTAGATGACCCTTGTGGTCCCCTCCATCTCTACAGTACTATGATTCTCTTCTGAGGACTGCTAAAAAACCCCAGTATCTCTGAACATTCTTCAAATCAGGGTTGTTGCTATGTGTGCAAGCAGTAGAAAAAGAACACAATACTCACCACATTGAAATCTAGATTTTTCTCTACCCATTCTTTAGCTTCTTTAAATTCATCTTTCATTTCCATGATGTACAGTGTATCCAAGGCATCGACAATTGTTGCTCCTTGAATATTACCTGAAAAGGGCCAGCATTGTAATTAATTATAAGCTTTTTTTTGCTGCTTTATCAAGAAATATTTATAAAGCAGACAAAGATCATAATAACTTTCATGGTTCTCAGTCTACACTAACTACAATAGAGTTGCAGATATTATAAAGGGAAAATCAAATTCCTTACAGTAACTGGATTCTTAAATTTGCTTTAGTGTCCTATTCTATGGCACTGAAAATCTGATGCACACTTGTCCTAGTGGTCTAGTTGTCTGCATTTGTGAAACTAAATTTCTTGTCAACAGGCTTGCAAATCAAATATCAGTCCATAAATAATAAAATACTTCATTTTGTAGAAAGCTTATTATTCAAGGTATTCTGTTTCAATCATAACTATGATCCCTGCATTAAGAGCACTATTTGGGATTCTTTCCTATCCTGCTATACTACCTGAACACCATCCTTTTGTTCGCACAACCCCCTGCAAGCATGCGACATTTCTTCACACTCCATATTCCTCCAATAATACATTTTGGATTCTGTGCCTCAGTTCTATTATCCTCCAGGCCCTGTCTATAAGATGCTCTTATTCTGTTACAGAATATAATGATATTGCGTCTCACCATGATGAAAAGGTTGGGTGCAAGAAAGGTGGTAGTTTGTTAGGTGTTTTTTTTTTTAAGTCTCAGCATTTCTATTCTGAATCACATCATTTTAGCTATTTCTCCTCTACCTGGCCCCTCAGTTAACACAAGTCTTTCTTGTAACAGTGCATTTGTTATTCATTAACTACTGAAATGTTATAGCTGTGTACAACGACAAATATTTTACAGAAAAAGATATGAGATATCTTGCAAACAATGCAGGAACATTAGCATGTAAAGAAAATGTAAGCAATTCTTTTGGCGAACAACTTCTGAATGGGCCGCAACAGGCAATTGCAAAATCATGTAAGTGTCTTGAAACAACACACATCAGTGTGAATGTCCTTTCTGTAAAACCAGCAATAAAAGCACAAATAATAAGCTGAACCACACGTCCCACACCAACATACGACTCTCCATTCACTAAGAACAGTAAGAGAAAGTGAAAGGCATACCCCATCTTTTAAAAGGTTTGAATGCATGAACTTGAAAACTGGCTGAATTCTCAAGTGCTCAATTCTAAACTAGAAAGAAAGCATAACACTTGCCTACAGGGAGATTGCACGCTCTGATTCATGAGTCAACCAATGTGGCACCTGGAAGCACCCATAGAGGCCTTCCCTGCCACCTGCAGCATCCCCTCCCCACTGCTGAAAATTGGCTTGAAAGAATATGCTGCTCTATGATGATGCTGGGAAACAACTGCTGATCTGAATTGTCTGCTTTCAGCATAACTTTAGTTGTATCTTCATGGCCATCAAAGAAAATACAGTGAATTTCACCTATCTAACAAAGAACATCAAATTCCTGAGCCAGGGATTTCAGAACTTTTTCTTAAGCCCTCTTGACTGCAAGTCTCTTTTCTTCAATGATCAAGCTGGCATCCATAAAGGCAGCTGTGGCAAGCAGGCCAATACCATATCTGATGCTCTGCATACCAACATTATGCATTTTATGATGTACTCTGCACTCGGCCTTTTTATCAGAAGTGGAAGGTGTATTTGGTTTTCTAACGTCAATTCATAACTTCCATCATTTCCATCTTGGTCATCATCTCTGTGTTATTCATTTTCATCAGCACAGAAAATTATTTCGTTTGATGGTATTGAATCATCTAATCTACTTCTATGCTTATATTCAACAAACCTTCTCTCATCTTCTTGCTGCTTCCACTTTTTAACTTGTTTGTTATGCTCAAGCATATGTAATTCACTTGTGATTACTAGATGATCATTTTAATGATGATTATGCAATTTTACATACATTGTTTTAAAAAAATGACAAGTTTTAAATTACTGGAAATTCCACAAAATGTTAAAAAGTCAATATTTGTTTGCAAAGTACAAATCAAAACTAAATTACAGTTGTACCTTGGTTCTCGAACGGCTTAGTTGCCGAACAAATCAGCTCCCGTATGCCGCAAACCCAGAAGTAAGTGTTCTGGTTTGCAAATGTTTTTTGGAAGCCGAACGTCTGATGTGGCTTCTGCTTGAGTGCAGGAAGCTCCTGCAGCCAATCAGAAGCCACGCCTTGGTTTTTGAATGGTTTTGGGAGTCGAACAGACTCCCGGAACGGATTAAGTTTGAGAACCAAGGTATATTTATTTAACCAGAATATCTTTTGAATTCCCAACTCATGTTACAACTTTTTAACAACCCTCATTTTTTGAAATTTAAAGTTGAAAAATTCAGCATACCCTATTATGAGAACCTACAATTTTATTCTCTTATACTACTTGAAGCTGCATCCCTATGTACACTTACAAGAGGGTAACTCCCAATGACTTGCCTCTAATTAAATATGCATTGGATTGGCCTGCATGTTTATTCCAAGTGTGAGATAGTATAATCCCAAATCAAACACCACTGCTATTGGTTTTTCTGTGTTAGATAACATGGCTTGCAGTCAAGCGGTGGGAACTAGCACTGGATGTTTACAGGGAAATAAATGCATTATCAAGTGGTACTACTCACAACACTCCAGCAATTTAGTTTAGTTATATTGTGAAGGCAAATATCATGTTTTTATTCCTATACTTTAACCATCTTTAACCAACATTCCTCTGTGAAACAAACTCAGAAAAGCCTTCCAAGACAAATATGCTACTTGACATGACATCATTTAGAGGACAAAATAGGGTAATGCAATTTAATAGCATGAACAGGATTAAAGTTATTTGATTTACCAATAAATCCTGGAACTAGTTATGCTGCCAGAAGAATTTTTATTGGATTTAAAATAGTTTATCTTATTAAATCAGCATAAGCTATAAATACAAACTTCAGTGTATGGCTCCAGCAGGACAATTTACCCACTGAAATAGCATGTTTCTTAAGTCTCTAAAAGCAGGACACACTGAATTGTGATGCTTAGCATCTGCAGAAGAGCCTTGGATCAGAGTTTTAAGTATGCCATGTCATATATATATATATATATATATATATGTACTGCACAATATAATGAAGCAGGTAGACATCAAGGGGAGGGGAGGGTAGGTTAGCAGTTCTCACAAGGATGTTTGCCTGACCTGTGATTTGCAACAGACTAGCAACAAATTGTCAGAGTAAAAGCATTACATTTCATGGCCTTACAGGAAAGTACTAAGAGATAGGCTGTATTCAATGGCCTGCAGCTTGAGCCTCCAATATAAAAAGAACTTTAATCTAAATTCTCAAATCTGCTTATATTTTAGAAAGAACTTCTTTGTTGCTGCCTTTTTTCCTGCTATTGTTTTATATCCAGTACCTCATCACTTAAGCCATTAGGACCTGAAACAAATTAGCTCATACAGGGTTTGCTATACATTTGCTACTTACTATAACCCAAACTAAACTTGTAAAAAAATGATGTTTGTTCATACTATTGGTACTAGATTTACCTATACAGTCATATCTTGGTTTTCGAACAGAATGCGTTCTGGAAGTCCACCGGACGTTCAGCTTCCAAGGCAAAGTTCGCAAACCAGAACACTTACTTCCGGCTTTGCGACATTTGAGTTCCAAGTTGTTCGTGAACTAAGCTGTTCGAAACCCAAGGTACGACAATAGTTTTTTTCTTTGTATGAAGAAGATGTATGCAATGTGAACTAAGGCTAAGTTTAAAACTTTGTTTTTCAAGAGCAGACAGTCTCACAGAGTGCATAGCAGTGATCTTCACATCTGCGTGCACACAGAAGTAAATCAATTTATACATATGTCATACAACATGTAGATCTAAACTGTAATAAAAATTAAGGTTATAAAAAGAGAAAGACCAGCAAAAATAACTTTAGAAGTAAAAATATCATAGTCCTATCTCATAACTCTGACAAAGGATTTAAAAATTCTCATCTGTTTGCTATTTCATTGTTCAAACTGTGCCCACTCATGTTTGAACCTGCTCATTCTGTAACTTGTTGAACCCAGATACACCAAGTAATTTTACTCAAAACTGTTATTTCCTATGATTCAATACACCATTCTTTCAGGTGGGGAATTTCCCCACCCTGTGACCACACACAGTATTTTGCATATAGTATCCTTGCAGAAATCAAAATTTTAGATTACCAATGCATGGACCACTGTGGCTAGATTATCTTTGCCCAGGAATAGACATAGTGGGCATACCAACCAAAGCTAGCTACTGAAGTCAGTTGAGCCTCTAGTAATGAAGATGAATGACTACATTCTGACTACAAGCTTGGTCCTTCAGAAGGAATAAAACTACATCCAGACAAATTTTCTGGACCTGAGGACTACCTATCCACAGTGCCTCCATCTTGCCAGTATTCATGCTCACCTTACTGGCCCTTATCCAGTCCACCATTGCATCCAGAAACCAGCTCAGGGCTTGCATGTTGACTCCTGACTTGGGTGTTACAGAGAGATAGAACCATCCGCTTATTGAAGCCATTGTTCTCCAAATCTTGTAATGGCCACCCCCAATAGCTTCATATAGATGATAAATAGCATTGGGGACAAAATAGCACCCCACAGCCTAACTACTAGAGGGCAAGCACATTTGGAAGTCCCTAGAGCTCAGTGGCAGAGCATCTATGTAGCATGCAGAAGGTCCTATGTTTAATCCCTGGTATTTCCAGGTATAGCTAAGTACATCCCCTATTTGAAATGCTGCAGGGTTGCTGCCAGTCAGTGCAGACAATATAAGCTGTTTCCTTTGCTGCTTTCTGGACTTGCAGATAGAAGTGGAACCACTGAAGATCAGTGCCTTCAACTCCCAACCAACAGAAGAGATCCAAAAGGATGTCATGGTTGACGGCATCAAATGTTGTTGAAATATCAAGAACGAGTAACATGATTGCACTTCCACTGTCCCTCTCGCAAGCAATGTCATCTATCAAGATGACCGAGGACAACTCAGACCCAAAAACCAGATCACAACCGAGACTAGTAATGGTCAAGATAATCTGCATCATACAAGAGTGAATGTACTTGAACTGTCACTACCCTCTCAAGCAGCTTCTCCAAAATGGGGGTATTGATGATTTATCCCAATTACTACTGGGTCGAGGATTTAACAGATGCTCCTAAAGGTGATGGTGAAGTTTACACCCACTACCATACCCTACAGATAACACAGCCACAATGAGTGCTGTGGTGCTCACAACGTAACAGAGCCTCTTCAATTACACCAGGCTAAACCATTGAGCCAGCAAGAATGTGGTGTTACACCTGCTCTCTGTGCTATTAGACCTTTCCTTGACAGTATTTGTTTAGTTTGCAATCTATGTTGCCAGAAGTGAATAATTATTAACATGTGCCAAGGTCAATATATGTAAAGCCCCATAGAAAAGCTGTTATTTCCTTTCCAACCTTGGCATTTAGACCACAGTTTTAAAAGAAGCAGCAACAAACTTGAACTGTTAATCAAAAGAGCCAGCTACCAAGATTGCTCTCCACTATATTTAACAATTCTTCCAAAAGTGGGAGCATAAATTTAATGGCCTTTTGGTAGAAGAAAAAAGTGTCAGTAAAGAGTAAATTCTAAGTACTGTGGCATAGCAAATATTTAGCTTCTCATAACATTTGCCATAATGCACATGGGTGTACACCATGGGAGCTAAGACATAGTCTATACAACAAGCCTTTCATCTAGATTTTTCCCAGAGTAGAAAACTTCATGCAGAATTGCAGCAAGCAAAAGGTTGTCACTAAGAACAACCTCATATTTCATTTTCTCCATCTCATTCCTATGTGAGGTAATATTTAACAGATTTCCCCCTCTCTCATCATGAATGAAGTGGAACACGTTGCCTTGATACAGTGTTATAGAAGGCAATAAATAATTCCATGATCATAGTAAAAAGAGCATGAACTGGGAAATCTGGATGGTGATTGCATGTACTGTTCCCTCAACATTATAGGGAAGGAGATACAGTGGTACCTCGCAAGACGAATGCCTCGCAAGACAAAAAACTCGCTAGACGAAAGGGTTTTTTGTTTTTTGAGCTGCTTCGCAAGACGATTTTCCCTATGGGCTTGCTTCGCAAGACGGAAATGTCTTGCAAGTTTGTTTCCTTTTTCTTAACACCGTTAATACAGTTGCGACTTGACTTCGAGGAGCAACTCATAGAACACGGTGTGGTAGCCTTTTTTGAGGTTTTTAAAGACTTTGGTGATTTTTGAAGCTTTTCCAAAACTTTCCCGACACCGTGCTTCGCAAGACGAAAAAAATTGCAAGACGACAAAACTCACGGAACGAATTAATTTCGTCTTGCGAGGCACCACTGTACAGGGCTGCTGTTTTTGATGGCAGCTATGACTTTCATATTTTGCCTTTCCTCCAAGGAGCTCAAAGGTAGTCCTGCCCCCCTTCCATTTCATACCACAACCCTGTGATATTAGCTTGGCTCCAAGTGCACAAGGCCACTTAGTAAACTTTATATTCTAGTGGGAATTTGAACCTGGTATCCCTGCCCTTTGTCTGACTCTCTAAACACTACTGCACTTGAGGCTCTTTTACTTCACTACTGAGCAGCTAAAGAGAAGTTTCCAAACATGAGATGGAGATTACCATGAACATCCAGCCCAAAAGACAACTGAATTTATCACTTTAGAGTTCTGGCTGGCTAAAGAACATTGAATGAAACAAAAGCTTGGATTCCACTATTTTAAGCACAAAATAGAAGCAGCTAAAGGAGAAAAGATCTACAGGACAAGGTGGCTATTTTTGTTGCTGTTATGGAAGTTCTTAAATTAAGAAACAAGGCTCCCTCAAAATATTCCAAAAATTCCTACTGTAAACTATCATCTATTAATAAAGGATATAGATGTTCAAAGCTGATAATACAACAAGAAAAAGCTTAACTGAATGATTCTAATTGCCATTCTTATGTAGCTAGCATGCCTATTTTGAAGAGTGCTTAAAATCTTTATCAGTTTGGCCAGGTTCCATGGTCAACATATGATAAGCTTACCATTTTAAATTATTATTTTTGATACTTGAAGCAACTCAAGGGCCCTATGGAGTCATGCTGGTGGGATAAAAATCCCCATATAAGGAGTGCAACACTGTAGTATACCTTGTATGATCTTCCTTGTAAGTGGGGAACAAACTAATAAGACAATGCTGCTTTGGTTATTTTCAATAATCAACCATTTACAGATAACCAGCTGTTGTGACATGTGCTAAGAGCCCACATGCTTCTAATGTAATCTCTAACTTCAGAGCAGTAAATCAGATGATGTCACTAAGTACAAAAGCACATATTACTTACCAAATAAATTGCTTGAGTGTCCTTGTTTCGATATGGGTTTCAGTTCATTTAATCCCCATGCGTAATGTTTATAATTATCCCAGGCATGTTTCATCATCTGGTGGGAAATGAAAGCAGGATTATAATGTTGATTTAGCAAGAAACCATTGCAGTAAATGCTAGCAGAAAATATACTGTACACTGAGAATCAATGTGTTGAATTCAGTGGTTAATTAAATCCATATTGTATTGTAGACATACTACTTTAACATAAAGCATTATTAACATTAAGTTGCTGTTGTGGTGTTTTAGTTATAGTAGGGAGTCTTTTATTCAATTCCATTCTCTATTGTTAATTAGGAATTTGTAATGCGCACCCATTAATTCTCATTAAGAAGTTTAGCTAAAAGACTATTAATCCAATTAAGAATTTCCCTCTAAGACAACAGGCTTCTGAAGCTGGGAACTACAGAAAAGATATTTTATTCCCCCACAACATATGCTTACAAAGTTATGAAAGATAAATCATATGTCTGGTAGAGACTGCAGTTTGGTTACAAGCTAGCAGACTGAAACAACTTGAAAGAAAAGAGAAAAGAAAAGAATGTACCAAATCAATGACAGCAGAATACATTCTAGCAAGCACTGGAGTTTTATGAAATATGCTAAATGATCAAATCCTGTAATAGGACTACCCAAGAACTAGATGCTTTCCCATATTTACTAATGAAAGACTGGTGTTCTAATATTTCACAGGACTCCCACAGCAGCACAGTCTTTGTTCCATCCCCATGCCATGGTTGCCACTAAGCAACAGCTGAGTAAATACAGTGGTACCTTGGTTTAAGAACAGCTTAGTTTATGAACAACTTGGATGAAGAATGCTGCAAACCTGGAAGTGTTTTGGTTTGTGAACTTTGCCTTGGAAGCAGAACATGTTTCGCTTCCTGTTGAGAGTGTTCCATTTGTAAATTGAGTCCCCCGTTGCTATGGGAAAGCACGCTTCAGTTTAAGAACGCTTTGGTTTAAGAATGGACTTCCGGAATGGATTAAGTTCGTAAACCAAGGTACCACTGGAACTTCCATTCAAATAGACTTTCTAAAAGTTTAGGCAGCTTTTCTTAAAAGATTCAAGAAGACAACTTCACAGAAAATGACATTTCCTTCACATGATTGGTCTAAGTACCACTGATCACATCAAACAAAAATGTCAAGAATATAATTTATAAAGCTACTACATTTTGGTTGGTGTGTATACTTGTACCACAGCCCAGTTTTTGAAAGCAATACAATAGCCAATCTATATGTTGAGGGAGAGAGCAGACAGATCTTTGGGGAGGAAGCATTATTCTTGACATTTTTGTTTGATGTGATCAGTGGTGCTTAGACCAATCATGTGAAGGAAAGGTTATAAAAGGAGGAAAGGCAGTAGAATTAGAAATAGATTTCCCACTTTCCTCTGCTCCCTGATAGTTTTAAATGTGGTTGTTCCTTGGTATGGCTAATTTTAACACTATGAGTGCCATCTTATGAAAAATAGCGGAACATATGCTTCTAATATGTCTGGTCTGACAAATCTGATAATGGGGAAGGCAGCAACAACTGTGTGTTCACTCAGACTGTGCTCACATTCCCATTTACAGTGCACTCAATGCATTTCCAGTGCTGCGTTTTTCATCCCTGTTCATTTGACGTTATCCAAAATGCAGATCAAGTCTGTACTTTGCTATAAAGTACTACAGCCTGATGAGTTGTTAGAATCATAGGATGATAGAATTGTAGAGTTGGAAGGGACCCAAGGGTCATCTACTCCAATCCCCTGCAATGCAGGAATCTTCAGCTACAAACACCTAAGGAAGGGGAGTCCCCAACCTCCCGAGGGAGACAATTCCACTAACAGCTCTTACTGTCTGAAAGCTTTCCCATACGTCTAGTTGCATGTTTAGTTGTTTGTTTGTTTATATTTTCCATATGTTTTGTTGTAACTTGTCAAACCAGCTTCACACCAGTTGGAGTCTTTAAGTTGCTTTTACTTGTCTCTAGTCAATATGTAAATACCTTTGCATAGAGCAAAGGCATCTGTGTCCCCTCAACACTGCTTGGTATATGCACAAACAAAAACAAACCTGACAATAATAAAGCTGTGCTGATGTGAACAACTGGGAGGAAGGGAAGCTGTAAAGTGGACAAGGCACGGGGAGGAAAACTTTACTGCACTCTAAGGTGACAATGTGAACACACTGTCCTTTCATTAAAAATGCCAATAAAAATATTAAAAGCAAGTTTTATATATATATATATATATATTTGCTTTCGTAGATTTTCACGGGTACAGGAATGCAGGTTTTGGTGTCCTCGGGTGTCTTCCCGTGTAAAAGTTGGGGTGTCTAGGCGACGTTTCGACGAGGTCTCACTCGTCATCTTCAGGCTGGTGTTTTCGGCTTCTTGTTACTGGAACAGAGCAGGATCTCAGTGTTTGAGTTCCTATAAATACTGTTGAGGAGGTGTGGTGTATAGCCTCCAATGTTCTGGGCAGGGAGGAAGTTCCCAGGCTAGTGTGCCTTTTCTTCTTTTGTTCCTTAATTACTGGAGGGATATCTGGAGTGATTTCTTGAGTGATATCCTGAGTACCACTTGGGTGGGTCATTAGGTGTGGATTAGTTGCTAAAGCCTTCGTGTCTTGACCTCTTGAACTTGGCTTGAACTTGGCTCTGGCTTGGCTTCGTGTATAGGGGCGAGCTGTGGTTTTGTGGCCTGTGCCAGCCAGATCTGTGTAGGGATTGCAGGGGGGTGCAGCATCCGGAGGTTCCACCATGGTTTGGCTACTGGATGGTGTCTGTAATTTATCTGTGGAGAGGGTCTGGGTTTGGGTCTGGTGTGGTTGATTGGTGATGGCGTTCTGTGTGCCTCTGGATCTGGTGTCGGTTTTTGTGGGGAGGGCTAATTTCCAGATGTCTGGCAAGCGGGATGTGTCGTCACGCTTGTTCATGTTGTGAGGGTGTTTCTCTATCTCGATGGCTTCCATGATTATTCTCTTGTGGTGATGTTCCATGTTAAAGAGCAATTTGGAATCTGCAAAATTAATTAACGTATCTGCAAAATTAATTAACGTATCGCAGAACACAAGAATGCCGTCAAAAAAGAGGAAAAAACTTCCTCTCTTTTCCAACACATGAAAGAAACAGGACACGAAATTAATTTTGCAGATTCCAAATTGCTCTTTAACATGGAACATCACCACAAGAGAATAATCATGGAAGCCATCGAGATAGAGAAACACCCTCACAACATGAACAAGCGTGACGACACATCCCGCTTGCCAGACATCTGGAAATTAGCCCTCCCCACAAAAACCGACACCAGATCCAGAGGCACACAGAACGCCATCACCAATCAACCACACCAGACCCAAACCCAGACCCTCTCCACAGATAAATTACAGACACCATCCAGTAGCCAAACCATGGTGGAACCTCCGGATGCTGCACCCCCCTGCAATCCCTACACAGATCTGGCTGGCACAGGCCACAAAACCACAGCTCGCCCCTATACACGAAGCCAAGCCAGAGCCAAGTTCAAGCCAAGTTCAAGAGGTCAAGACACGAAGGCTTTAGCAACTAATCCACACCTAATGACCCACCCAAGTGGTACTCAGGATATCACTCAAGAAATCACTCCAGATATCCCTCCAGTAATTAAGGAACAAAAGAAGAAAAGGCACACTAGCCTGGGAACTTCCTCCCTGCCCAGAACATTGGAGGCTATACACCACACCTCCTCAACAGTATTTATAGGAACTCAAACACTGAGATCCTGCTCTGTTCCAGTAACAAGAAGCCGAAAACACCAGCCTGAAGATGACGAGTGAGACCTCGTCGAAACGTCGCCTAGACACCCCAACTTTTACACGGGAAGACACCCGAGGACACCAAAACCTGCATATATATATATATATATATATATATATATATGGTAAAGGTACCCCTGCCCGTACGGGCCAGTCTTGCCAGACTCTAGGGTTGTGCGCCCATCTCACTCAAGAGGCCGGGGGCCAGCGCTGTCCGGAGACACTTCCGGGTCACGTGGCCAGCATGACAAGCTGCATCTGGCGAGCCAGTGCAGCACACGGAAACGCCGTTTACCTTCCTGCCAGTAAGCGGTCCCTATTTATCTACTTGCACCTGGGGGTGCTTTCGAACTGCTAGGTTGGCAGGCGCTGGGACTGAGCAACGGGAGCGCACCCCGCCGCGGGGATTCGAACAGCTGACCTTTCGATCGGCAAGCCCTAGGCGCTGAGGCTTTTACCCACAGCGCCACCCGCGTCCCTATATATATACATATATATAATCAGTAATTTTAAAACACAGTAGTGTTACCCTTCATCTTGGTTGTGATTTCATATTTCAAGTGTTCTGACTATTTAGGTTTCTCTCATCTCAGAATGGTATGTCAGTAAAACACCTGAAATACTTTAATATGCTTATCTACAATACACATTCCAATGCCAATCTTCCATCATAAGCCCTTGAAACAAAACCCGAAACTGGACCTGGACCACATGTGAGGTGAGCACCCCCATGTTAACAGAATTCTTGCTCCTTATTAGTGTACCAGCTGTTCATAGCCAAGTGCCAAATTTATACCTGTCAAACATGAAACAGACTGAAACTGGCTTTCCACATATGCTAATAGTCAAGAATTAGATTGTAAGAAGAGAAACCATTCTGGTGTGTGTTTTATAGATTATGATGTGATTCCACAAACCAATTAAACTTTGACCTAAGTCTATTCTCCATTTTCAAGATAAGCACAAATACAACCAGGGTTGCTCAACTGTACTGAGAAAAGTTCACATGTACACACTCACGCACTCTTCTTATATATACACATACATACACTCTTCTATATTGCATTTATAGTCTAATCTGCAATCCCAGGAGACAATATAGTAGTGTTTTACCTGCATCAGTCTGAGTTTCCTTCTTGGTGTGATTCCTGCCTGCAAGAGGTTTTTTTGGCTGACAGCAGAGTGCAGTGTTGTTTGGTTGCTGACTGACTAGATGAGCTGGGATGTGATCCAGAGCACATCTTATCACAAAGGCAAATCGTGCTGTGGGC